GCAATGGAATAAGTAAGAATAGCGGATGTAGCAACATCTTGATCATCAAAATTAATACTTTGTGTATCGATAGCAATATCTTGGATATACACATTTGAAGTTGAATAAAGTATAACTGAACGATCGATACCAGCATAATTAAAAAAATCAAATGGAGTTTCGAGATAACGATAAGTTGGATTATAAATATGTAGATAACCTGGTGGTAATGTTGTAGGTGTAAGAGTATTGTTAATAGCTACTACAACTCGTACTTTTGAATAATTTTCATTACTTGGAATGAATCGAGTAATATCAGCTTCAAATGGTAAATGTCCACCAGAATGATTCATTGCTGATTTTCCATTGACCCAAACACGAGTTTCATAGTGAGCAGCTTGAAATCGAAGTACCCAACGAGGTACTGTTTTGTGAATAAAAAAATCGCGTGCATACCATACCCATCCAATATGCCGATGAATGGTAATGTTTTGTGTGATATCATTGTAAGAAGCCGGTACAGGCATAAGAAGAGTAGGTGGAGGTAAATTTGATCTGGCAAACCATTGTTCAATTTCTCCTACTCCGTCTTCATCGAGTCGAAATTGCCATAGACCATCTAATGATCTAATTTGTCTTGTTTCACTTTCTGCTGGATACAAAAGTCCATTGACAGCACAACACCATAATGTTAACAAGAGAAGACAAACCCTCATGATCTTCCTTTGAAAAAAAGCCACTGGCAAAATAACTGATATGTGTGCGATGCTCTGTTTTATTTGAAGTAAGATATGAAATCTTAGAACAGCTAAAAAAATAAAATTAACAAGAACATGACTGACTGCGAAAAGTTCGTGTTTAATGTTCTTTTATCTTTTATTCGAAAATATTTGTTGTATGTGAATTACCTTGAAGATGAGATATAACACAAAATGAGATGAAAATTGCTAGTATTAATATAGAAAAGCTGACGGCTATATTGTTTATATTTTAGACATTGAGCAATGCATCTGTACTACTCAGTCCTTGAATATTTGAAAAAATCAGAATTAAAATAAATTTAAATATTTCACATCTTCTATTTTTTATTGTTTTTGTCAACCTCAGCTCTATTAGCTTTTTATATGTTTTTCATGGTGATTTTTTTTTCTGAAATATATTTTGATTATTGTTTAGTTTACTTTTGTTCTCCCGATTTCATTTATTTGTGTAAGGTGAGATTCATAGATTCGAATCTTACTTTTCTATTTTTAGTATTTATCATTTGTCGGCATCAATAGCATAAATTTCACTACAGTTTCAATTTCATTTGTTGACTAAGTTGTTTATTGGCAGCATTTATACCAATAACAAATACTGCTTTTGTTTTGCTCACGTGCTTTCATTCGTTCAGCCAAAATTACACATTCGATAGTAACCAAAAAGAAAAATCATCTCTACGCATGTAAAATTCTGATTAAGCCCGCCTTCCCGATACGCAATCAGGATTTAGATCCAACTTCAGACTCCAAACCAGAGTTCTGCTGTTGATTGAACAAATTGCATCCTTTATGCCTAGCAGTTCTCCTGTGGCTACAGTGTTTGTGGATTACAAACAGGCCTTTGATCAGTTATGGATTGAAGGTTGTGTAGGTAAATTCAGTCGTATGGGTATTCCTAGAGCATATGTAGAATGGATAAAAGTATGGTTAGTGGGCAGAAGAGGCTATGTAGAAATTCACGGTTCTAGATCCCAATGGTTCCCTATTGATCGTGGAGGGCCCCAGGGGTCTAGCTTAACCCCGTCAGTTTTCATCACATATCATGCTGATATGGACCAATTCTTGCAAAGATGTACTTTCTTCTATTTTGCGGATGACTTAGCGGCCACTATGGCAGGCCGGATTGGAGCTAAGTATTCAGAACAGTGTCTAGATCTCGAACGGAGGCTAAAGGATTTCTTCGATAGTCTGGAGTGCTACTCACTGCTCTCGATCCAACCGATTCATTTTGAAAAAACTGAGGCTCTCTGGTCCACCAGAGCTTGGGGAGTACATGAGGGACTGAAATTTAGTTTAAGCTGTGGCAATCATCCCATTAAATGGTATACGTCCTTTAAATATCTAGGCTATTGGATTAGTCCCAAACTAGGCTGGTCAACTATGATCAACAAATCCTTATTAAAAATTCGACAAAGAGTTGCTATGATAAATTCCTGTCGTATCTATGGAACCTCATCCACAGAACTGCGTAGAGTCTTGTTTTCCTGCTATGTTCTCCCCCTATTCACGTGGCTTTTCGCTATTTTTCCGCTATTCTCTGAATGCCAACGTAGTCATACAGAGCATTTCTATGCCACCTGCTTAAAACGAATTTTGCATTGCCAGAGCTGGCCGGATGAGTTCTTCGAGTTTGTATTCAATGAAGTCCCACTAGTTAATAGATGCACGGGTTATTTGAATAAATATTTCAAAGCACTGGCTGAATCGAAAGATGGTGAGTTGCTTGCAGAGCAGCTAATTCTTAACATACATAGAAACGAATGGTTAAGAGGTAAGCTAAGAGTCAAAGGTCTTCGTAGAACAAAACGATTCATAGATAATAAAAACGGTCCTGGAAAAATGTTTGTCCTGGCATGATGAAAACCCCCTCACAGACACAATTGTTCAGTTCTCACGGGATGATATCGAATCATTGAAGGAATTTCCCGAAACGTTTTGAAGTATTTCAAGCTGTGGTGTTTCGGTGTATTTATCACTGTTGATACACGATTCCGTCTGTTGGTTTCTTCTCGCCTCGCAAGTATACTATATTTAACATCATCATGTATTTAATTCTCTCTAACTTTTCCTGCCTGATTGTGTAAGGCGCTATTCTGTTCTCATTTTTCTATTTTTTCTACGCCTCTCAAGCTCCTTCTCTAACATCTGTAACATTTCTACTATCTTCTTTATAAAGTCTGACACTCTTTTCTTATGTTGTAATCTCTAGGTATCGACAGGCCTTCGTCTTGGCATCGGTGTTACTCAGCTAGCAAAATAAAAATAAAAGATTCGGATTAAGCCCTTGTCTCTTAATTGTCTTTCATTAGTATATCAACGATTATGAAATATCAAAAAGTCTTGAAAAAGAAAAACTCGATCACATATTGAAAATACTAGACACTTTTTATATTAATTCAATTAAATACATAACAGATTTATATTTCGAGGCAATCAAAGTAATCATAGTTTTTGCTTAAGTCATTCGAGATCATCTTGATTCACTTTTACTTTAGCATAATCATATTCAAAAGCATAAAGAGATATATTGATAGCTTGAATAGCATATTCCACAACTTCCTTATATTGATGAAGATTTTTCAATGCTGTTGCAATGTGACCATGGATAATAGCTAGTGAATGATGATTAGATGTAAGTCATTATCATGCAAATTTGCACTTACAAACATACAAAACACGAATTCTATTTTTTTTTGCTAGGTCTTCTATATTTTTAATTAAACGAAGAGAAATAAAATGACTCATATATATATTATTAGCAAGTAAAGAAAAGTTTAAAAAGTTCAGAATTTCCCTATGTAAAAGATATGAAAACTGTAAGCTTGTAAGAAATAATCGGTTTATTTATTTTTTTTAAATTATATAATTACATATCTGAAAAAGTTTTAGTTATTTATGAGTCATTTATTCGAATATACGATCGCCAATTAAGAAATAATTGATTTGGAATAAACGATGACGGTACAGATTCTGTTATAATTCGACATTCTTGGCGAAAACTTTCATAAGATATAGCATAACATAATGGTGATGGATATTGAAGACAAACTGATATGCAATCAGGTTCACTTATCATTCGAGAATAGGGTTCATATTGAAATGAATCGATTCGTCCTGCAATTGGCGTAAATGTTCCAGACTGACATTGAATTAATAATGGACATATGGATGAAAATAGAAATATGATAAAAGTAAAATATGTCATAGTTCACGTCTTATTCTCATAGAAGAATGTGAAAGAATACTATTTTTTCTTTGCATTATAGATTTTCTTTTTTAATGTCGCACATTTACAAAATGATAATTACCACTGATGTATTCGAGAGAGAAAAAAAGGGAGAAATGTTTCCTCAAATTTAAGGAAAATTACAATCTTTTACCAATCATAGAAAAACATTTTTAAAATATTGAATACTAACTCATCATATAGAAGTGCTATCAAAATTTATGGAAAATTTTTAGGATACTGTTTTTCTTTGATAACATTTAATAACAATCTAATCGTATCATCATATTTTTTTGTTTTGCTTCTAAGATGAATATGAGTAAAATTCTGAAAAGATCACAATAAGCTACTGATTACTGAAATGAAAAAATAAATTTGTATTACTTTACTATCAAAGAAAAGCCTAAGATTGTATATCATTCAATGTTTTGATACAATAATACACTTCATAATTCGATTTCTCCATTGGTAATATCGGTGGTACAAATCAGATTGCATACTTAACTGCTACACATTAGATAATCTATAGATACGTTTTTACTAGAAGATTAAATAAACATTTAGCTAACCAAATTGTACACTATGTCAAATCAATTCAACTAAGTATTTTAATTAGAAAATAATATTTTGTGTCAAATCATAAGTACAAAAAATACAATTTACTGGATCGTATAAATCTTTCTACATATTTATCTCTAATTTAAATTCGAAGAATTTATATACATTAATGTACTGTAGATGTCATGATATATCATGCGATTACTAATTTTTATGAGTCAAAAACATGAATCAACTCAATTAACTCATTATTCGCTAATTATATATAGAAATGAAAAATAATTTTCCTATGAAAAGTGAATAAAATATATAAATCAATGACATCTATAGTCAATCATACGCAAGCTGACATTTTTTGTGGTATAATACAATACTCAATATTTGTTTATTTACTTGTTCTTTTCTTTTTTTGCTTTACCATGGATTGATAGAGATCACATTTGTTCTGTAACAGTTGCAACTTATTAAACTATACAATGGTTCAACATTGTGTTAATGCAGCTAGTACAGATTTCGTTTCTTATAATTCTAAAAAACAACGTGATGCTGCTGATGTTGTTGGCAGGTAAAATATTTCATTAATATCTTTTTTTTTTCAAATTTTCTCATTAATTAAATATGTATTTATTTATTCTAGTAAATCATTCTCGATAAATAATAATAATAATAATGCACTTCATCATCATATACGTACATTAGGTTCAATGCAATCTGGTTCTGTTGATTTTGTATCAAATGTTTTACCTGTAACAACACATTCATATTCACCAATATCAACTGAACAAATACCATCTGATACAACATCATATTATAAGACAAATACAACAATATCGTCATCATCATCATCGGGTTATGAATCTGTTTTATCAAATACATCAAAATCACGTCGATCATTTTTTTCACGTTTAAAACGTTTAATTAATTTTCCGTCAACAAAAAAATCTTCAGATTATCAAATATCAAATTTAAATAATTCAATTGAACAAAATTTAAATAATTCAACATCACCAATTATATTTAAAAATCCGAATTCATCATCAACAACGAATAATAATAATAATAATAATAATGCAATAAATTCAAATGAAAATCGAAGAAATTCTTTAACACGTTTAGATATTCGAAGAAAATCAGCTCGACGTACATTATCTCCTGTAACTCAACATGTTCCGTTTGTATATGGACTTAAAAATTGTGGCAACACATGGTAAAAATTCTTTTCGTTTTTTTTTTCTATTAAGATAAAATAATAAAAGGAAGAAACGAAGATAGAATGTTTATAATATATTCTTCATTGACCTTCTTGCGGCCAAGCAACATTCTTTTACAAACATAGTTATTATTTATTCAGTTAGAAACCAATTATTTCATCTGATTATATTCCTTTAGTTTTCATTGAAATGATAAAGTATTATATAGTTATTTCTTCTCTTAATTATATAGTTCAAATTTATAACTAAAGAATATGAATTGAATAATTTTTGGCACATATTATTAACTTTGAGTATGATGAACAATTGTAAAGTATAGATTGGATTGAAGATAAATGTTCATAGTCAAGATTAGTTGTTTTTTACCCTTAGATGATACTCATATTTTTCTGTTTTATTAAAACAAAGTTCAATAGATTAGTATTCTCCATAGGATGATTTTGAATGAAACTTTTTAGATATTCTTTTTTTTTTTTTTCTAAATTTCTTGTGCTCAAAATATCAGTAGTTTAATTTTCACAGCAGCATGTTTTGCATATATTTCGAGTACTTATGAATATTAAACTAATAGAACAAAGTAGGACTAATTTTCTAATACTAAGAGAAAAGTAATTACAGTATGAACTATGTTTAATGAATGTGATTTTATAAATGCATAGTATAAAAATGAATCTTCTCTATAGTTCTTTGAGACTGTAATAGGGAATAAGTGCTTATATATATATATTTGAATGAATCCAACTATTAAAGGAGCCATACCGTTAAATTTCTCTATTGAATGTCTCTAAATCATACTGAAAGATCTCAAGTTTTATTAAAACTATGAAAGAAAAACATCGAATGTATAAAACAGAAACAATGAATCAGTAATGAAAGGTTGTCAGAATGGAATGGTTGAGGTGTGAGTGACTAGAAGACCATTAGCGGTGTCCTCAAACCCACACCATTCTACAGTGCATCAGTTAAACATTGATTAAATTTCATTTCTCTTTTCGAGATTTTTCCATTCATTGTGATGAAAAGTTGATTACTTATCAACTACATTATTTAAGTCATTTTTGTTCATGACTAATTGAATTGATCTGTCATAAGCAGTAATCTTTTGTTTAATGTTTATGACTAGAAAAAAAAATACTTTTGATTTCTATTTAATATAAGAATTAATTTCATATGTAAAAAAGAATGAATATTTCTCTTGTAAAAATTATATTGATATTTTTAGTTTTATAAATGCTATCGTTCAATGCTTATGTCATACAGAACAGTTAGCTTTATATATACTTCGAAAAGGTTATGAACTTGATATACGTAATATAAAAAATGCAATACTTGATTATCAACATTCATCAACTTCTCAACCACATGGTTTTAAAGTAACAAAATCTTTTGTACAAATATTTCAAGCATTATGGAACAATTCTTCAAATACAACATCTAAATTATCTTATGATTTTAAAACAACTATTGGTAATCTTAATCGACAATATTCTGGTAATGATCAAAATGATGCTCAAGAATTTTTATTATTTCTTATTAATACAATTCATGATGAATTAAATTTAGTTGCTAATGGAAGAGTACGACAACAAGCTAAAGTATGTTAATTTAAATAAAAGAAATTTTACTTTTTATTTATTTATTTATTGATTATGTTTAGAATTCATTTTCATCTACGACTATTTCTTCTCAATCGTCATCATCACTTGCATCAGTTGAATTAGCACGACGTGCATGGTCAGATTATACCGATGCAAATCAAAGTATCATAACATCAACATTTAGTGCCCAACTTCATTCAACATTACGTTGTAATCAATGTAAACAAGAAAGTAAAACATTTGAACCATATTTATTATTATCATTACCAATACCACAAAAAATTATTAAACCAGTTTTTATAACTGTTGTCTTTCTTAATCAATCACCAAAACAATTACAAATTGGTTTATGTTTACCAGTTACAAATACAGTTAAAGACGTTCGAGAAGCTATTGCCCAACAATCAAATCTTGATCCAAATGATGTAAAGAACTTCTTTTTGTTTTTCATGTAAAGAAATTTAAAGAAAAAAAAATGTTTTTTATTCATTCAGCTTGCTCTTGTTGAAATTCAACAACATAATGGTTTTTCTCAAGTATTTCATGATACAGAACCAATGTCTCGATTAACACATGATTTATATGCTATACAATTTCCTTCATCAATAACAGAAAGTAATGAACATGTTGCATCAGCTACAGAATCTACAAATCAATCATTATCAAATAATTCATATGTTAATATACTTGTACTTAATCGTGTACGTCTTAATTCTGGTCTTGTTCAACGATTTGGTGCACCAATTGGTAAAAACAAAAAATTTTTTTCAATTAATTTTTTAATTAAATAAGATTATTTTTTTTTCTTAAGCTGTTCGTGTACCACGTGAATCAAATTATCGTGCATTACAATTATCAATAATAAAAGCTCAACGATCAATAATACGTGATGAAGCAATGGAATATGCACAAGAATTTGTTGTTTTTCAATTGTCACTTATTGATCAATATCAATCAACAATTGGTGAAACAATAAAAAAAGAATATCCAATACCATATGATGTACAATGGCCACTTTATCTTGAAAAAATTGTTGAAATACTTGATGCATATGACGGTCCCGGTCTTGGACCATCTCATATTCAAGTCTATGCTAATTGGCATGAAAAATATCTCGGACAATTTATATCAAAATGGGGTTCGAATGATGATAAACCTGATATTCATCAATCAGTTGCTCAAGCTCGTGCAGCATTACATCAACCATCATCATCATTAATATCATTAGCTGATTGTTTTTCATTATTTACACAATCAGAAAGCTTAAATCATGTAATATCAATAGTTTTAATTTTCTTTTTTTTCTTTGGATAAGCAAAAAAATTATTTTTTTTTGTTTTTGTTTTTATATTTAGGATGATGCATGGATGTGTACACATTGTCGTCGAAAAGAAAATGGAACAGTTAAAAATTTGAAAATTTCAACATTACCACCAGTTTTAATTATACATTTAAAACGTTTTTGTCAAACAAAAATGTCTAATTCAAAATTAGTTTATCCTGTACAATTTCCACTTGTTGGTCTTGATGTTAGAAAATTTTTGTCAACTAAAAAAAATGATGAACTATTAAATAATGATGATAGTGGAGCTGATGATGATCAACAAGATTCAATTGATTATCAACAACAAAAACAATATGGACTTTATGATCTATTTGCTGTTTGTAATCATCGTGGGAGTATGTCAAATGGACATTATACTGGTAAGAATTATATAATAAAATTTTCTTAATACAAGATTTAAGGAACATCTAAGTAAGCTTATTTAGTTGTGTTAATATTTATTTATTCGTAAAGAATATTAATGTCGACTAAGTCACTGAAATTTTGTATCAAGCTGATTTTCTTCTTATCATTAAAGATAGTAATTAAGGAATGTTTTCCACTGATCAATTACTTTCTCATTGAAACGTAGGTGATTGTATGTTAATGAGCATGCTACTTCCGAATATGACTATGAGAAATCTCCTCAGGTCTTCATATACGAGTATTCTAGACTAATAATTTTTTTTCAAATATTTTTCGTTGCTATGTCGAACATATGAAGTTGCCTACAACGAAGTAAGTTTTTCTATTTCAAATTACTTGTTTTTTTTTTGCAGAAAATACAGCCATTTTAGTTCATACAGTAGATTCATTTTAATATAAAAATCTTTGAGATGATATTATTTTCCTTAAAAAACTCATTTTTGGAAAACAGAAACTATTATTAACTTAGGGATAATACGATATACTCTATAATTTGAATAGATCAAAAAACCACTTTTGCTTATTCTAGAAAATCAGTTTATAAAATCCTACGAGGATTTTTCATGATCATATTCGGAATTAACATGGTCGTTAACATACAACCCACAAGTTTACAGTGAGAAAGCAATTCATCAGTTGAAAACATTTTCTCATTAGTAGTTTATTTATCATAGGCAGTAAAATCACATGGTTAACATAGGGTCAAATACTGTTTCCTCATTCTATAAAATGGATAGATTTTAGCAGCATATTACAACTTTTGTATAAATATCAATAGGTTTCGCCATCTTCAGTGACTAAGATTACATGCCTATTAAATATTTTCAATAGTGAATAATTAAATTGATTTTTAAATTTTAGCCTATTGTAAAAATCCCGTAACAGGAAAATGGTTTTGTTATGATGATCATCTTGTGTCCGAATTAGATCATTCTCGTGTATGTACACCAGATGCATACATATTATTTTATCGTTGCCGTGATACTCCTCCGTCTCCACCATCAGAACCTATTACTAAATCACCATCTTCTCATTCACAGCAACAACAACAACAACAAATAGATTCAATAGTAAACGATTTTGATGAACGATTAAATCTTTATTATTCATCTCCTCCAACATCAACAATAGAGGATGATTTAATGTGGCCATCAACAAATGACAAACAACATCATTATACGCTCGAACCACCATTACCATTACCAAGAAAATTTTTAACTCCATTACCATCATCATCATCTCAAGATGAATTTTCTTTAGTACAACACTCAGTACCTTGTCCAATGCCTCGAACACGTAAACCACAATATAAAATCGATACAAGTTTACTACCATCTCAAATAATATTACCACCATCACCTCCAACGAGACGACAACCAATGGTACCAGTTGGTAACTATGTTTATCCTATATCGTCAACACCATCAGATTATATAATTGAACCATTGAATGATTTTTATTCACCATTACAACGATATAATAATATCGAAAGATTAAATCCATGGAGTCATTATAATAGTCAGAGATATTCTGATAGTGAAAACGAACATACAGTTGTTTATTCGAGAAGATTTTTACGATAGTTAAGCATAATAGATATTCCACTTTCACAAAAACAAAAAAAAACAAAAAAAGAAAAATTTTAATTTATTTTTTCTTTCTTATTTTAAATGTGCAAAACAGTAACTCAATATGATTTTTTTTTATTATTTTTGTGTCCATATTTTACAAATAAGAAAAAAGAAAACATTTTAAATCCTTTTCTTTGATCCGAGCCTTGTCTGTTATTTGTTGTACAGTGTACAGGTTTCCGTTAGTTTTTTTTTCTCGTTCACTTCATTTGATTCTCGTTTTTTTTTTTTTTTTTTTTTGAAAATTTATTGTTGATCTTTACACACTTTATTTAATTAGTATTCTTTGCGCATTCGATTGTTTTTTTCTTTCTTTCTTCTTTTTTTTGAATTTTGTTGTATGTATATAAATATATTTAAAGAATGTCTTGATCAGTCTTATTCTCATGAGAAATTTGTATATATTGTCACCATGTTGATATACGAAAATTTATGAAACTAAAAAAACAAAGGCACGTCATGTGAAAGCAAAATATATGAATCAATTTTGAGAGAAATACAAAAGAGGAATAGTTATGTGTTATCGATTACAACATCCATATATGAAAAATTAATGGATTTATTCATTAGTCTGAAATAGACGATTTGCGATGTAAATAACAATTGATGCAAGGTTGAGCGAGTCAAGTTAGTTTTCTGTTTATTTTCATCAAGAACATTAACAATAAGTTTTTCTTGTTACGATATCTTGCTGCTAGTTTTTTATGCATAAGAACAGTCCTGCATATAATAAAATGATATAACTATTATGATATTATCAACAAAGTAAGAGCAGTAAAATGAATTCTTTTCGTTTCACACAGTTTCGGAAAAGCGAAGATTAGTCGCATGCTCAACAGAAGCATGGGTTCTATTATGCTTTCCACGAACTTCTATTTGTAGACATGTGATTCAATCACATACAACACCATGTGAGAATATGAATGACGTGTGACAAATGAAGATTTACTCCAATTGAATATTGGCATTCATGCTTTGAATTTATCAAAATGTTAGGAAAAGACGAAAACTATATTTATTATTGAATAGCGAAAGCCACAGTAGACAAAAGTTTCAAAACAAGAAAAAAAATATATAAAGGATTATGGAAAATATTTAAAGCAACTATTACTTGCTCTCGTGTAAGGCTTTATGCTCAATTAGAAGAGTTCACTAAATATTTGTATTCACACTCATATCTAATATTATTTGTCCTTGAAATAGATTATGAGTTATTTTCTGAACTTCTCTAAGTTATTTCTCTATAATGTTAAGAAAAGTTTTTTGCTTATTTTATTTTTCAGCATTACGCTCTATTGTTGTAGATCCAGTTTTACAAGACAGTAAAAAATACATTCATTTTTATGAACAAAATTCTAAACTTGAAGTTATTTACAAGGAAAAAAAATAATTATTAACATTTAAATCAATGCCTTATTGCACTTCAAAGTAGTGTCCTGAACGGGTACGATTTTTCGCACCCGAACTCGGATGTGAGCAGATCGATATTCGGCAGATACTTTTACAATCATAGTACAATTTTCAAATCTTTACTTTATATGAAAAAGTACACTATTTTGTTCCATCCATAAGGAATAATAAAAAGAAGAGATCATCTCAAATTTCGCAAAAAAAGCAAATAATTTAAGATTCACTTGGTGTCTTTCTACTTCTAATATCTAATCAATGTCGCTAAGTATATATTTGCTTGTTACTGATAATGCTGAAGTGGAACGTAATGTTAGTACCAAACTTCATAAGTATGGATGCATACATGAATTCTTTTTCCATCATGATAATACATGTTCACCTTTTTGATAATTTCTTTTTCTCTTCATATATTCAGTTACTGCATCATGTAGTTTCTCATTGTAGATGAATTTTCATTAAAAACAAATTCTCTTAGTAAAATAATATTACTTTCTACTTCTGTGACTTGTTCTCAAGTACAATAAATTACTCAATCATAATCGAACCAGTTTTCATTCGTATGCTTATATATACATATAGCAGTTCGAAAAAATTAAAAATATTTCGAAACATCGAAATCGTAAATATTGTCACATAGGATGGCAAGTATGACGTCGAATCGGGATCCGACCTGATTGCAGGACACTACTTCAAAGATGTTTAAATACAAACATTAACTCATGAAAAACCACTTTTTAATGGAACACTTGTTCAATTGGTGCTGATGTAACAGGGATAAACATGATTCTACTAGCAAGTATATTAAGATATTGATATAAATTAAGATTATTAGTTAAATTTTCTTCTTGCATAAAATCATAAATTTCTATTGAAATTAATTTAGGTGTTGAATAATCAACTGTCGCTTTTTTGAATGAATAAGTCAAGTCAGAATCATGATTCCGACTCGCCCAGTCCTGAAACAGTTGATCAAAATAAGTATTGAATGTAAATAAATTATAGAATAGTAATAATTTGTGTATTTTAAAAATATTGATCTTAGTAATATGGTTTTTCATTTTATTGTATTGCTAAATTATACGTTGATGTTCAATGAGACTTTTCCTTCGCTGATACTTGTAAAATTGATTGCTGAAAAAAGATTGTGAAAATCAATTTGTATATCAAATAATTCATCCATCAAAATAAACTATTAGTTTATTACTTTCAAAGAAAATCAGTGACTTTTATGTATGTTCGCATGACAATCGTGCTTTTTTTTCTTTTTTGTTTTGTCGGTAATAATTTCAAGATGACCTAGAAAATATATAATGAATTGCTTTAATAACTGTAATAAAAAAAAAAGAAAACGAACGTTTTCTCGAAGAAAATGAAGCAAAATTGAAATTTGAGTATTGATATCAGATGGCGAGAATAATATTCTTCACTAACAATATAGTAAAATTAGAGATTGAAAAAGTGAAACTGATAAGTATTTTTCTCCCGATAAGAAAAAATAAAAATTTCATTCCTATAAGAAATAAATACAAGTAGAATAAAAATCTTGTCATGATCGTAAACATTTTGGAAACGTCAAAGATTTCATTATTATTTGCTTAGATAGAACAATTAAATAAATGAGATGTGAATATTGAAATTTTATTCTCCAACTTTATCATGTTGTCAATTCCATTGGAACATTTACTGATTCAAACTAATGTGTCTATTTTATTTCTAACATTATCCATGAGAAAGTATTCCTGATTATATACATGTGATTTTTCCTCAACTGGAAAAAAATTTGATAATCATCAACGTCATGTTCACCATTTCCTCAATTGCTTTAGAAGACTTTGATCAATCATTCATGCATTCTCGACTATCGTGACAGTCAGGTTGAGAGCGTATGTGTAAAAATTTGTGTGATAGAAAACAAATGTTCATTAAAAAAATCAACAGTAATGTTAAAACATAAAATTCGTGGGTGAAATGATACAGTCTACATTTTGACTTTGTTTCTCATGCAATCAGTTAGCTTTTCGGCTCTCGAAATTGCAAATGTTTTTTTTTCATTTGATAACGTTAACCGAAAATCAGCTGTTTTTTGTACTGAAAAGACGTTATCAATGTCTTGCATTTGTTTTAATAGTATGTTCGAAAGCTTCTTAATCATGATACAGTGTTTATTGATTTACAAATCATCTGTTGACTTAATGTCTTCATCGAAAAAATAACGGATATCATTGTCAATGAGACAGTTTTCGATTGCCCATCTAACCCTGAAATAAAAAAAGTACTTTCTCATAATTTATCGTATTTTACAATTTCTTTTTCATTTAACACTATATTTAAATTCTTTCAATTTTGTTGAATTAATGTTTGCTTTTTTTTGCTGTCGAGTATAAAACTATTTACAATCAACAGAAACGTATTATTTTACAATGATCTGAAGGACAGAGGGAAGCTCGTCTGAACAAGCGTCTCATGAAGTAACAATACATTGTCATTCATCAATAGTTTTTTCTCTATATTACTCATTGAAGTATTATTTCTGTTAAAGAACACCTCATGTTTAACTTGTTTTGTAACAGCAAACTTTCTTTTACTGACAATAAAATTATGTAAATGCATTATTTTGAAAGTTTTTATTTTATTAATTTAAAAACAGCACAATGCTATAAAAAATATTAAATTTTTAGTCGAAAAACAAATTTGAATCGTCCATTTAAATCCATTAAATGTATTCGATCAATTTCAAATTTATAAATATTAGATGCACAACTTTTCATAAATCGATCACTAATTTTATCGAAATCATTTTTATGTATTTCTCCTAAAGTTAATGTACCATCGTATTTATTATCATCAATTATATTTAATTGACGAATTGATTCTATATTAATTGGTTTTAGAAAAAGACGTGATGTTGTTTGATCGTAACCAATTGAATTTTGTTCAAAATCAAGTGTAAATTTTGTTGTTGATTCAAGTTTTGAGCGTAAATCAGAATCGATAGGACCGTTTTCATATTCAGCAAGAATAATTCGAATTGATTTACATGGTCGAAATGATGTATTTTCAAATAAATGAAGAAAACGTGAAGAAAATTCATTTGGTGCAATAATACTTAGATAATTTATTGATGGTGATTTGATAGGATTTATTGTTAAATTAGATATTGCAAGAGGAAGAGTTTCGTTCTCTTGACCTAATAAAAGAATTTCATTTTTAATTGTAAATAAATTTTCTGGATGATTTTCTCGACTAATCATATAGATACGATCAACAGTAAATTCAATTGTTTTCCATACAGCTTGCATTTCAATAAGAACATCGGAAATTTTTGATGTTGTTGTTTGACCAAGTGTAAGATGTGCTTCAAATGCACGTTTATTTTTAATTAAATTTAATAATTCATTTTGAATTAATTTTTGAAGTTCAACAACATCTGTACTATTTTTTGGTCTTAAATGATATGTACATTCATCACCTCGTTGTTTAAAATAATGAAATGATGATTGATCAAATTGAATTTGAAATGGTTTTATTCGATTAAGAATAGGTTCTAATTGTGTTTTAATATTATCGAAATTACATTCAGGTGTAAATGGATATATAAAATTAATATGTGGCATCCAACGTGGATAAGCTTTGTCATGTATAGAACGAATCGATTGGATTTGTTCCCAAACATTGTCGGGTGGTATTAAACATAATGCTGTTTGTGTTGTCGTTACGCTCGCCATTCGATAGATCGTTCTTTATCTTACAGAAGGAGAAAATAATATATATGCGTATATATACCTCCACTAGTAAGCGGTGAAATATTAAACATATGATGAAATGTATGGTATTACGTCATCATGATACTATGAATAGTAGATATTACTTTCAATTTCACCATCATAGAATGAAATTCATATCGAGAAAAACACATAATAAAATCGATTTTGATTACAGATAGATTAACAGAAAGAAAATTATTGACTTTTCTTTTTTTTTTTGTTTTTGATTGATTTGAAATTTTTTCTTTTTTGGATTTGTCATCCTTGAACATTGATGTTATTCGAGTTTGTTTAAACACTTAATGAAGAGTGTCCGATTACGTACTGTTGGCCGAAGCCTACTTGAAAATTTTACTTTTAATAAAGAAAGAAAGCAAGAAAAAAAAAAATTCTTTTCTCTTTTTTTCTTTTTGCTTCTCGTTTCTATTTAACAAAGCGCAATCCGTAGAAATAACATCGGTCGATAGTGCGTCGCTCATTCTCTATCATTGTGTCGTTCACATACAACATTGAAATAGACTCAAAACACGTCAAGTAAAAGACAATTTTTTCTTCTTTCATCCAGCAGTAGTCGAGTACGAGAAAAGAAAAGAGGCTGAAAGACAGCAGAAAGTAACATAAGATTAAAATATTAGCTTTTTTTGGTTTCTCTTGGATCATGACAAATTCAACGACAACAACAGGATTGATTAATATTCAAGAATATCCTATGCATGAACCACAAAATGCTCAAGAACTTGTTAATTTAGTAAATAGATATTTTATATTAAAACCTCTGATTAATCATCTTTTCTTTGAGGTTCAAAATACCATCTCACAAATTCAAGATAAATTTGGACAAATGAGTGATTCAATTATGACAAGAAGTAAACGAAAAATTTGCATTTTTTTTTTTCTGAAAATTTATTAAAAATAATTTTTCTTTCTTCTTTTAGTTGATGATATGGGTCGACGGATTGATGATCTCGAACGTAATATTGCACATATAATCTCGCAAACAAATGCTGAATTACCATAATATATTGGTCAATATCAATCTAATCTTTTGTTGCTAACTAAATTTTTTCTTATTGTTCGTGTCATGTTTTTTATGATAGTAGTATTTGATTTAACATTTGAAAATTTATTTGGTTTTATCAACGGTTTTTTTTTTTGTGATAGAACGAACATTTTTAATTGTCTTTTGTTGTTTATGATTTGAATTTTTTATTCTTAGCCATATTTTTCAACGATAGAATTTCATCTTGAGCTTGGTTAATTGTACAAGCATCAAGTAACATTGTCACAGCTTTATTAAGTTTATTCAATAAAAGATCAACATGTTCTTTTGTAGTGAACATTATATATAAATGAAAAGAGAATGCAAAACTAAAAGCAATATCTTGCAAATGAAATTTATACGTTTTCATTTTTTTTTCGCGCAGTCTAAAAGATTCCCAATTTATCTGATTATAATAATTATACACAGCAAACAAAGAAAAAACAAACAAGATAAGAATAATTCATATACAATGAAGTAATTCACCGAACAATGATGCGGTCAATAGACTATTGAGAAGTGTGAAGCAGTCCCATATTCATTGCAATGCTTGACATGCTTATTTTTTTTTGCTGTTATTATTGTTTAGTCAATTTTGGTAGTGAACGTGTCGCTGCATTTCGATTAATTGGACCTTTTCTTGGATCGATAACACGTTTATCCATAGGAATATTACTAAATAAAAACCACAAAGTGAATATTAAATTCTCTAATTAGACATACTCATTAAGTTCTCGATTAGTTAATTGTCCATTTCGTTCAGTTTTGGTATATTCTGTTGTTTGAGATCGTTCTTTCATAACTGAAATTGCATCTAGTTTTTTTTTTCATAATAAGTCAAAAAATATATTTATTTTTATTCAAAAAAATTATCATACTTCGAACATCAGTAATCTCATTTGTCAAGATTTTTCGTTCTTCATTTGCTTTGTGATAAGCCTTGTGAGAGAAAAAAACAAAATCTTATTTATTATTTTGAAAATTAAAAACTAAAAACCTTATTTTCTTGTTCTAATCGCCATTCGTAGTCACGTAATTGACTCGATAAATTCTTTTTTTCATTTTCAACAACACTTAACACTTCTTGACTAACCTTGAAAACATTCAAATATGCATTAAATTCTTCTTAAAAGACAATGAAACATATTTTACTTCATTCGGATCTGCTTTTGATGCACGTGTTTTTGCTAAAAAGTAAATTTATATTCATTTTATCTTAATCCTTGTTTTTTTTACATACCAGTTTTTTGTTCTTCTTTTGCTTGATCAATATTTTTTTCAAGTAAAATAATTTGTCTTGCTAAATGACGATTAATTTCTTCTTGATTTTCAAAACGTGTTTTCCATTCATTGCCTAATTATATGAAAATGAATCTTTTGAATCCAATTCAAATTGAAAAACAAAATAAAACTTCTTTTTCTATCTCATCAAACATTTTCATTCTTTTGATGGATAAAAAAAAACACATTGTGATTAGATTTAATTCTTTATTCTTTTTGTTGTGTTTTAAACAAAAAAAAAAAGAAACAAACAAAAATACCTTCTATTTTTCCACCTATATCAATATGAGTACTCACTATATAAAATTTCCTTTTAGAATAATTTCTTAAATATTTTAAATAAAGAAAATAAAAAGACTGAAATCGTACATACTTTCTTCATCAATCATTTTTAATCGTTTTTCTAATTCAGCAGCTGTATTTTGTAATTCATGACATGATTGTTCAAGCGATAATCTATTAACAAAACAGAAATGTTTTATTTTTTATAACAAGAAAAGTTTACTTTATTTGTTCTTCTTGATGAATTTCAGCTTTGAGTCGTTCAATTTCTGATGAATTATGTGAATTTGTCATTTTAAAAACTTATCTACAATATAAATTATAAAAAAAAGAAATTTTATTGAAAGACAATTTTTTTTTCAATTTTAAATAAGGTCCTTTTTTTTTTATTTAATAAAATGATTATTTAAGGCCAATAGAGACTAAGATAAGCTTCTTTACGTTGAAGTTTCTTTGTAACTTTATCATCCACGAGCTAAAAAATTTTTAAATTACATTAAATTATATAAAATTTATTATTTACTTGAATTTTAGCTGAAGTACCAGCATGATCATGAATATGAGAACAATCACGAACTTTTTGAAAAGCTTGAAGATATCTAAAGAATATATGTATATATGATCATTTCGAATTTAATAAAGTTTTTTATGAACTCATACGTTCTTTTAAATTTTTCTTGCCATTGCCAATTAAAATTAAAACAACTCGAACAAAGAATTTCATTTCGATACTGATAATAATCTCCAATAGGTGTTTGAAGACAAATAATACACTTGAAACATAAATCAAAATTTCATATAAAACAAAAAAAAAAACAAGATCTTTTTCAAACCTTGTCCATATTTAATGACGTACACTTTGTTTTAACAGCAGGAATAAGTTTAGCTCGACCACCAAAACTATGAAGCATATGTACTTGACGATTCTGTTTAACATCACATTCATAATTACCAGGTCTTTCGTTTTCGAAACGAGAAATATTTTAATGAATTATGAAAGTAAGAAATTATTCTATACCCTGGAGTATTGGCACTTTTAGCACGTGCTGGAAATCTTTCAGAAGCTGCATTAAAAGGTTTGAATGCTCGTTTTTTATTTGGTAAACGCGTAAGATCCATTTGATATGTATCCGGACTTGGTACATCAACCTATTTGAAGAACAAAATCAGCAAATTAATTATTCGCTATCGTGAGCAACAATAACAATAAAAGAAAATTTTTTTTTTATCAAATTACTTTTGCTTCAAAGGTTTTTCGTTGTTCTGTTCGTGCATTGAAAGTATATCCAAGACGACTCATCGGTTGATGATCAAGAACATATCGAAATGTTGTCTTTTCTTCATTATTATATGAACCCGGTGCACTAGTGATATTAAAGCAATAGATAAAGCATAAATAGAAAGCAATAAGTCAACTAAATAAAATAGAAATTTACAGATTTGGTACGCCTCGTAATGGTGTTTGATGATTTCCAAAGCAATCATGCGCTATATCAGTGGGAAATGTCGGTCGATTGACTGCTGTTGTGCCAAAAGCAACATTTGGTGAAAGAGTTTTTTCACCTGAGAAAAGCAAGAGAAGCAAATCATGCAAAGAAACTTTTGATTTATATAAATATTTCTAGACTAGAAAAGCTAAATAACTGGGAAAAAAAAAACAAAACAATCTTACCAGACAACATTTTGATACACAGACGAAATAAATTTTAATATATTCTATAATGCCATTCTGTCAAATAAATCAAGTATGTCACCTTGACAACAATTATCAGATTTATATAGATGTCGTTTTGTTTTTTGTTGATAATAAAAAGAATAAATTAAAATATTTATCGAAATCTTAATGAAAAATATTATTGAAAAATATAAAACGTATTTCTTTAGACTAATCAATGAATTGTTTCATGTGTAAGGTCTTTTACTTGGAAAGTTTTTCTAACATGGCATTTATTTTGTGTTTAGTTTCATAGAGAAAAGAAATTTTTTTTTCAGTAGTACTTGTTTTTGTAATGGCTACAAGTCTTTATCCACCTTTACGCATTCGTGATATTCCTGGGCCACAACCTGGTCAATTTGGTGTGGTAAATAAAAAAAAAACTAATCATTATTTCGAATGAATATCTTGAATTAACTTTTGTTTATGTGTTTGTTTCTTTAGCTTGAAAAACCCTATCGACCGCATAAAAATCTTGTAGCACAAAATCGTGAACTTGAAGCTATTCGTGAAACACGAGAAAAACAAAATCGAGAAGCAAAAACTGAATTAAATAAAATACAATTTGATGAATTATCATCAACTAAAGCTTTTCATGCTCAAGTACGACGTGAAGTTGAACGAAGAATAAATCATGCAGATCATCAACTTGAAGACCGACGTGAACGGTATTTAGAATTGATTTTGTACAATTCTTCTACTAAATATATATATAGAGAGAGAAAAGATTTTGATTACTTTTCGCGACATAATTTTATCTTTCGATATGCTTAAGATCTTGAGACATTATTTATTGTTTAAATATTCATATCGAAGATTTGAATCCATCGAACATTAAATTCTGCGTATCTTTTGATTTTAGTTTACGTGCATTACTTGCTGCTGACGATGCACAATATCTTGCTGAAGCAGAGTCATCGAAAGAAAGTTTAAGTCAACGTATTGGAAAAATGCGTCAAAAAGCTAAACGCATACGAGAAGAAAAAGAAAGTGAACATGCAAAACTTGTACAAGAAAAATATGATCAACGTTTTCGACGTGATTGTGCTGAATTACGTGAACTTCAATCGAAAGAATTAGATTATGAATTAGGTAATGAACATTTATGGCAAATGAAAGAAAAATTCGATAAAAAAAAAGATCACCAAGTAAAGTTTTTTTTGTCGCGTTTAAATGACATTAAATATGTTATTTAATTATAGGCTGAAGAAGAATTTTGGACTCAATTATGGTATAATGATATTTCAAAAAAGAAAGAACGTGAAGATCGTGATGCACAAGAAGCAAAAGTAAAATCAGAAAATATGGCTAAAATTATACGTGAACAAATGCAAGCTTCAGAAGCTGAACGTAATTCACAGAAAAGCAAACGAAAAGAATATTCTGAAGCTGCCGTAAATATTTTTATTTATTTGATTATTTATCAGAAGTTTTCATTATATATATAGTGGACACAATTTCGTGCTCAAAAAGATGAAAAAATTGCTGAATATCAAGAAAAATTACGCAAACAAGACGAACAAAAACGTGTGCTTGATACAGTTTTAACGTAAATAAATCTTTTCGATTAAGTCAATTAATCTTATTTTAAATTGTTTTTGGTTTTAGTACTAAACAAAAAATTCAACAACGTAAAACTGAACAAGAAAAAGCACTTGAACAAAAACTTGCTGAAGAAACTCAGCATGCAACTATAAGTGATGATATGGACAAAAGACAACGAAAGGTTTAAATATTCTATTGTTTTTATTTCAAGATTGAAAACAAATTCGAAAAATTTTCTTTTAGTTGGAACTTCGTGATGAAAATCAACGTTATCATGCTTACTTAGAACAACGAAAACTTGATGAACGAAGACAACAAATTGATCTTGATCATTTTTTACAAACTGAAGTAAACAGACAAAATGCTAAACGTGCAGAAAAAATACGTGCGGAAAAAGATAAACGTGATAAACTTCTTCACGAAGTTATTGAAGGTCGACAACAACAATTAATCGAACGAAGTATGTTTCATTCTTCTTAATCAATTAATAAATTTTTATCACTCAATTTGATTTAGATGAAAGAAAAACACAAGAAGCAAATGAATATCAATGGCAAAAAGATAATATGAAAAATATTTCTGAACAAGTTAAATTAGAAGAAGCAGATCGTGAAGCACGTAATAAAGCGAAACAACTTGTTTATCGACAAACTTTAATTGGACAAATGAATTATGAACAAAGAAAGAAACAAGAAGTATAGTTAGATATTCATAAAATAAAAAATAAGTTGAAATTTCATTAGGAGGAATATGAGATTCAACGTGAACATGCAGAAGGCATGCAAACAGAAATTGAATATCAAAAACGTCTCAATTTTGAACTTCAACAAACAGGTGTTAATAATCCACATCCAATTCGTCAATGGTATTCAGCTAAAACGTATGTTATTCATTATTGATGAATTATTTGTAAAAGAAAAAAAAATTTTTTTTCATCATAGGGGTACATTCTATCGACCAGAAAAACCAGCAATGTTCGATGATGATAATAAATTCTACAACAAAGATGATCTTAATTTTCTTCCTCGACGTAATACTACAGCACCACAACAATCTCGTCCTATTTTACCCGTACCTATTGTGTATCATTAACAAATATGCTTTTGTTTCTATTTTAAACTTAATTGACATTTGCTCATTTTTATTTTCTGGCACATATTATCACAGATGACAATTGGATATAAGCAAATAATAGCATGCTTAAATTTAAAATATCATTAGAAGAAAAACTCTTATAAATCATTGAAAATTTGAGTAATAATTAATATTGTAAAGTAATATCGAACAAATTTGTCTGACATTGACAAGTATGAAAATATTTGTTTTCTACATAAGAAAATGTTTTGATAAAAATTAAGTAAAAAGAGTCATACTATTCTCACATAGCATTAAATGCGCAATAATAAATATCGATAAATACTCATAATAAGCAAAAGCGTCGTGTTAGTTCGTGACAGTATATTCTAAATTGACAAAATTTGCTCAAAATATTCAAAGTATATTGATTCATCATTATAATTTTAAGCTTATATAATTATATATATGATTATCTTTTTTCGATCATATATAAATCTGTTGAAAACAACATGCGTAGTAATCAGTAAATCATTTTTTTTTCCTATGCTTTCTTTAAGTTTTCTTGTTGCACATGTTGTTACTGCCGATGATGAACGTAGTGACGAACATTATTTATGGACGTGATCATGGAAGATAAGTTGTCACTGCTATTCTTGATCTTAAGTAATATTATTTAATTTAAACAGACGACGCAATGAAGCTCAATACTATCATGAACGAGTTACATAGAGTTGAACAATCCTTCAAGGTTTATTCGATGTTATCCCTATGCGTTAGAAGTAAACTTTTGAGTTAAAAGTTTTCAATAGTTAGTATATCAGATCATGGGATCAAGCAACATTTCAAATACTTTTCAATAATAATGATCATGATTTTTTTGGTACCACAATTGCTGACATTCGTAGGTAATGTAACTATTATGAATTATTCTATTATTGGCAAATCGTCTCTGCTCCTCAACATCGTTGCTTGGCAATCGATGAAATATAAAATAATAAAAATAGTTTTGTTTATTCCTTCACAGATACAAAAATTCATTTTTCTATCATTTATACCGGACAATTAATATTTATTATTAAAACTTTCAGTCTGATAATAATTCATTTTTTCTTTCGTATAAATATAAAATCAAAATATTATTTTATAATAGATAAAAGAATTCTTTTATAATCACCAGATGTATCTCCACTAACATCTTGAGCTAATGAACGATTGTAGATTTGTTGGTATTGTTGTTTAATTTGTGCAAGATCAATCTAAGAAACACATTTAAAAAAAATTCATTTCAATTTGTTTCATTATGTTTTAATTTACCTCAGAACGTGTAACAATCACACGAATAAGTGTTGAATCATTGGTACCTAAACCACTAACAGCTTTATGAATACATTCAGCAAAATATGATGGTCGATCTCGAATGCATGATATCAGAACAAGATAAGCATCTTTAATATCACCAGAAAATTCTGATCGAATTACTTTAGCAATATCTTTTTGATATTTCTACAAGAAAGTTGAAAAATTCTTTTTGAATTAGACTCAGAACATTACTTTTTGATATTCTTCAAAAGTAGCACGAAGTTGATAATAATTACGTCGAGCAAAAATGGCATTAAAAGTTTTCTCATCAGTACCCCATTTACCAGCACCAGCTTTATATAAATCATCAGCATCTTGACGAGCACGATTACTATTGAAGAATAATAAAATAGAAATCAATTTTCAAAAATTCAAAATTTTTACCGATCAATAACACTTTCAATGCCCATCTGACGAGCTTGTTGAATTTGTTGTGGACTCAATTCGTCTCGATTAGCCTTAAAAAAACGCTTTACTACAAATGAATTTAGAATAAACAAATCTATTAACCTGTACGGCAGAAATGAGCATTCGTTTGAAATCACTTCCTCGTACACGATTACTGATTTCTTTTTCAAGATCCTTATTAAATACTATCGAATATATATATTAAAATATGACTCAATTTGAAAGCAATAAAACATATTTACTTCGTCTATACGATTCTATGATTGCTTGAATCTCACTATTTGTTCTTGAAAGCAAAATTTCACGTAGTGTTCCTTCTTTACTTCCCTTAAAAGACAACAATAAAAACAATTGTGCTTATATATATATATATATAAGAAAAATATAGACGTTTAAAGCTTGATTTAATGACCATGCATCAAAATATGCCGGTGATTCAAATAAGGCAATAATTGTTTCTCTGAAATTTCCACTCAGTTCTCCAGTAAGTTGTTGAATCAAATCCTAAGTTAAAGAAAAATGAAATTTCTATTTTGATTTTTAATTTAGAATGTACCTACCACGCCATACATCGATTTATATTGAAGTTTAATTTGTTGACGCTGCGTATTAGATCGATTAGCAATAATATCGATTAAAGCACGTTCATTGGTACCTTAAAATGAGGATGAATTTCGAAAACATAGTCAAGTTTCTTTCTTTTTTTATCTGCTTTTGTTGTACCTGCTCCTTTCATCGCTTGACTCAATGCTTGACAATCAGCATCAACATTAAAATTTGATGCCGGAAAAACTGTTCCTTGATATTGCTCTAAACTAGCAAGTATAGTCGATGGTTGCTCTTGCGGATAAAACGATTGATGTTGGAGTTGGGGTTGGGGTTGGTATGAAGAAGCTATTCCTTCTCCCTGAAGTACCAAGATGAAAACAAAAAGATAACTTTAAAAGAACGCGAAGACTATATTATTACTCACACCATAGTTGGATGGTATTGCTGGTTTTGACAAATTTGGATATAAACCGCCAGACAATGATGATGGTGTTTCTTGAGAATATGGTTGTTGATATTGCGAATTTTCAAAACCTCAAAAAAGAATGACTGATTTTCAAAGATTTATTAAAATAATAAACTTATACCTACCTCCATATTGTTGTACAGGCTGATTAAACATCGAAGAAGGCATTTGTCCCCCAGATGATGGAGGTAGTTGATAGTCACTATTGCCTCCATAACCATATGAGTCACCTGGCATTTGGCTTACATTATAGGGTGTTGCTGAATAATTATTATTGGCAGACATATAAGAAGCAGCGGTATTATAGGGTGATGCAAACGATTGATTGTCGGCATACATGGGTATCGGTGGTGGAGGAGGCTGATAACCACTGTTTGGTGAATAGTTCGCATAACCACTATTACCTAGAGAATAAGGTGGTGGATAACTACCCGCTGGATTTCCGTAAGGATAGCCACTCATGATCACTTATATGTACTTTTATTACTTAACTCGAGGACTACTTAAGTGTTGAGAAAAAAAACGACGCCTTTTGAAGTGTTGTGATGACGATAAATACTGATTCATGTTGTTCTTTCCTTATCATACGTTCTGCTTTTCTATTGGCGTGTATCTGCATTGGTGAGTACGCTTTTATTAAAACAACAGAAAACCAGTAGTAGAAGAACAAAATACAAGAAAAATGCAGCTAAAACTTTTATGATAGCGACAAATATCTTTATCTTAGATGTTTTAATAGATAAAAGAGTAATAAGATGACGCAAAGAAAAAGCAATCAGGATTCGATTAAAATTCTTTTTTAAATTGTTTTCTACAGCTACCCTTGATGAACATGCTCAAAAATGGAATAAATTGATTTCTCTATGAAAAAGAAAAATAACAAAAGACAAAGTCATTTGATGATGTGACTTAAAAAGACTTTGCATACACTCATTATATACAACATATCATTGGTGAAAACTATTTTCAAGAGTATATAAATATGTTCTGATATCAAAATATAAGTATTAGTGCTTCTGGTTCATATAACAATCATATGGTCATACAATACAGTGTTTGAATAGGGTTGGATGGGATGACAAAGACTAGACTCATGTCAGACACTGATACGATAACAACTCGCCCTCAATATGTCATGTTTTCCTTTCAAAGTTAGTCACGCGCGACATAAATAATTACAGTTTTGAATAATATTTCTCTTCTTTTCTTCGCAGAGTTTTGCTCCACCATCAGATCGTCATCGGACATTGCTAATAGAAAAAGTTGAAATAGAATAGTACGTCATTTAACCCGAACTACTAGAATCAGTTAATGCTCCAGAAGATATGTGACATTCACGACAACTTCTAAATTCCCAACAACAAAGGAGACAACGTGCAGTGCTGAAGCCGGAAACTTTATCATATGAAAATAACACTAGAATACATATTGATAATGAACAGCTCAACAATACGGATCTATGAAATCCTTCTAGATTCTTGCATTAATCTCTTAAAAACATCGATAAGTTCAGAAGCTGTAAGATGAGCTGGGTATTTATTTCCTTTTCAGCTACACTGACATCCACCCACACCCTTCTTCAAGTTTTTCAATATTTAAACCGAACCGATGAGTTGAAAAGTTGAACTGAATTACAGTTATCACTATGCATTAAATAATGTATAGCATCGTATGACTATTGGGGTTCTTCTCCTGAGAGCAAGTGAATTTCACGAGTTCTAAATCACTTTTGTAAAATCTGTCAAAGTCAAACAGTAAAATGTTGATATAAACATTTCTATCAGCTGGACTGCAACCACGTCTAACAAATTAACCATACTGATCAAGTCGAAATGAACTTCGAAATGTATTGAGTACGCCATCAATAATATTTATGACAAATTGAAATTCAATTCATCATGAAAGTCAAGGGAAAAGAGTTTTATTCGTATAAAGATTAATTAAGTAAAAAAACATAAATTATAAATAACCAAAGAAGAAATTCAAAGAAACAATAAAAAAAAATTGTTGATGCTAGTTTGTAATATTTCAAACCAATAGACATACCAGCAACTACAGTAGAACGTTGATATGAGTATTAAGAAAAAGACAACCTGGATCCACACCGTCACCCATAAAGAGTCACATCCATATCAAGCATGATCTGCTATTCTTAGAAGATCATCATTTCGTTAGAGTTGAACTGATCGAGCTGATATATTGATCTATAAGTCTGATAGAAGTAACTATTAAAAGAAATGAAAATTATACTCGAATCATCATAATGTCAATGCCGAAATTTTCAAAACATACAAAGACACTAATCTTATAATAAATTATCTGATGTTTTGATAAACAGAAGACCATAGATGAGGTTTCAAATGTATGCTGAAAAATATCAAAAAATTAGTCGTACATTTAATTGCAAATAACTCAAAATTCATTGTACATTATCATTTTTTTTCTGAAAATGAAATTTTATTCTTGAAGTTTTCCCTCATGTATTTACAAAAGTTTCCATCATATACATGAGTTATTTAACCTAATGTCTACTTTCAGTAGATTCTATTCGTTGCAATTAAATAAGTAAATATTCTTCGAAAGTTCAACTTCAAAGAGTAAATGCAAGATCATTACATCTATTTTAGGGTAAGAAAAGTCCAAAATTAGGGCAGGATATTCGTCATCTATATCTAAATATATAGAGCATGAGAAACTTATCAATAATATCTAGATTTTCTGTTCTTTTTTTGTAATTAGTTTTGAGGTAAGATTTTTTAGTTCTTTCATATAATCTGTCTTTCCTGACAGAAAGATTAAATTTTGATAAATGGCACGTATTCAAGTTTTTTAGTTTATTCCGATGTCGAGATTATGTTTTTCTGACTCGGCATGAAAAACTGAATCTATCAAACTTATTTCGAAATAACTTTCTTGGATTCATCTTTTCATGCTGAATCAGCAAAAAACACAGGTTTGAAATTAACACAAACTACAAGAACTCTCAGTTATCAACATTGGATTTATCTTTCTAAGAAAGTAGATCATTTGTTTGTATGAGTTCTGTTGGAGAAGTTTTTGGGTATGAGTTTCTTTTCAATAAACTCTAATACATTGTTCTTATATAGAAATCGTATTCGGATGCATCGATCATTAGCTAATTGTACAGCAATTGATCTTTTTGCTGATTGGTCACAAGATGCATTACTGGTATTTCTATAATAGGTGTTCCACGTCATCTTCAACCTCACTGCTACTCCAAAACAATTATTGATATTAAAACTAACCTGGACTGTATCACTTCCTGGCAGTAATAACTTCGTTATACAACGTACAGATTATTTTAATTATATATGATTAAATAAATTTTTATTGTAGAGGAGAGTGTGAGTATGAAAGAGATTCAGAGTAAATCCACATTTCCCGATACCTACACCCACATCCACACCTTTCTCCTATAAACGTCTTCAACAAAACAAACGATAGCTACAGATAAAAGTTACCTAACACAATCAATTCTATGGTTCGTTCATCAGATTGATAGAGCTATTTTCTAGAAAACACGAACTATTGTCCGTTTCAAAATAGACGAGTGGTGAGTGTTTTTTGAATAACTTTCAGCAGGAACGAGATAGAGACTCGTGGTTTTCACCGTTGGAAAGAAGAGATCAAGGCACATCAAATCATACATTACAGATTTTGTTTTCAACTGTTTTGAGAGTTTCTATTGCACTTTTTCAAAAACGTGTGTGTATTTGGGATCGATTGGTACAGTAAATTTTCATGAAAATGTAGCAAAAACTTAAACTTTCGCCAAATGTTCTCGAAAAATCAGATAGAAGACCACGAAAAAATGCCTTTGATTGTTGAACGTTAGAAATTACAAATCTGGGCTTTGCGCAGTTTTGTAGATCTTCCATTGGCGATTCTGATGCACTCCTACTAATCGAAAATTTTCTGTGGTGAATGAGCGCGGTACATTACTTTGCCAAAATCTCAATTAAAAACACTCAATAAAACTTGCTGGAAAAGTCTGTAGTACATGATTCGATGTGCCTTAATCTCCTCTTTCCGACGGTGAAAACCGCAGATCTCTATCTCGCTCCTAGAGAAAATTATTCAAAAAACACTCATCCCTCTTCTATTTAGCAACAGACAAAAGTTGTTTGTCCATACTCGATGTGTGTTCGCTTAATTTGTTATAAAAATGAAGAAGAATGGAAATCAAGTAAAACAGTATTTCACAACACTAATGTTAAAAAATATTTGTTTGGAAAAATAAATTTTATGCAGACAAAATATTGAGAGGAGACGGCCAAGATTAAGTGATTGTGATGAGTAGAATAATCAAAAAGAAATGTTTTTGTTGCAGTTCTGTTTATTGTACTAAACTTAAGTGTATTAAATGTATAATCAGATTATGCCTGTTTGAAATAATTACTATCGTGATTCGATTGATAATAAGGGTTGATACCACGTTTCACTTGCGTACGCTTATTGAAAAAAACAAACGAGTCAATTGATCATTTTCCTAATGTTATACATAGGAACAAAAGACACATTAGCGGTTTTCTGATTAATGATTTGCATAACTTTGATAAATGAGGTGTAGAAACGATAGGATAGAACTTGACGAGTCCCATATGGAATCTGAGCTAATTACGTTAGAACCGACTCTATAGAGTATTCATTCAGGAACTACTTAAATTCTGATCTAAGATATCGTGCATTTGTTCGTATGAAACGTTATAAATAATCTGAACATTGTCTATAATGATAAACAATTTAAGTGTGGGAATGAAGCTCATAACAAGCGATAAAACATTGTCATCTGACGATCCTCCATTTAGTATTTCTTTTTTTCTTGAATCATGTAATAAGTTGCCTATGATATCGTATTGCCTAATAATCTATGTAATATAAGAATATTTGAGCATTCGAATATCTTACTGTCAATAATAAAATTTTAACTTTCATATAAAATTATGTCTCGTCCTGTTTTTGCATTTACGCTTGTATACACAGACGACAATATTACCTTCTAAAAAAAAATGATACCGCAAAACAGAATTCAGAAAGAAAAAACTATATTTAATGTTATAGTCATCAAATCTGGACTGTTGTCAGGTCATCTAGTATACTCACACACAAATAAACAAAACGACTGAAAAACGAGAGAAAAAAAAACTTTCTATTAATATCTATTTATTTTGTCCTTGGTTATAAAAAGATTGTCCTTAGTATGATCAGTAAAACAACAATAAGTCATATAAATTGTGCACAGTACATCGAAATCATTTTTTTTCGTAAATACAACAATTGCTAGATACAATTTCTTTTTTCTATTGTTGAGTAATTAAATGTGACATTTTTATTATTTCAATTGAACGTACCAAACTATTGTGAAACAAAAAGAAAAACGAATTAATAGATAAGATACTCAAATGATCTATCAAAGTCGATATCAGAAGAAACAGAAAAAAGGTATATAAATGTGCTTCTATTATCTGACGTCATAAAAACATCGAATAGTATATTCATGTACGAAAGAACATTGCGACGAACTACGTCGTGGACTGTTTTATCAAGAGCTCAAGAAATTCATTTAATGTCTACTTGGAATAGTAAAAATGAACATTCATCTTCGGATTGTAGTTCTGTACGTATTTTAACTCTTATATTTGATAAATGTAATAAGCAATCTTAGCATTTTTTTTTCTTAATCATTCGATAAGCTAAAAGAAATTTGACGAGACATTAAATAACTGTATGTATTACCTTCGTATTTTTTTTTCTCTTTCAATCATGAAATCGATTCAGTCAGTCAAGGACTTAGTTTTATTTAACTATCAAACTACTAATATATCATGTGTATATACATAAAACAAATGAAAAATCAACAATCGTCAAAGCATAAGATTATATGTATATATTATCATAACATAGCATCAGTCAATTCATCAATCTTTTATATGTACAAGAAAAGAGCAAAGAGGTGAAGGCGACGATGTACAATAAAAATAAATATAAAATCGCCTTATCGCATGCAATGTTCGAGGTCAACTGATCATGATGGTGTAACTCAAAGCATAGCACATACTCACTAAAGTATGTCACCAAGAAACACTTACATTAATTGTTGTAAAAGTTATTATGTAAAACAATACCAAGAATAAGAAGGAGGGGGAACAAAAAAAAATAATTGATGATATTGATCTGTCGTTTTTACGAACAGAAACAGTATACAATGAAACTATATGTCTGAACATATACACCTTTTTGATTCATTTGACATACATATAATACATTCGTTTGTATGCAAGCCTGTTAGACCTATATAATCTTTGAGTAAACGACAACATAGATAGAGAATTGTTTAGCCTATCTTCCTTCTTTTTTTCTTCGCTATTCTTCTTTTCAATGTTTATATGTACCAGAAGAGACGGCAGCGTCAGCGATGACAAAAACGGTCTGTATCTATCGCTAATCCACATCGTCATCGCTACCACCAATAGTTTTCTTTCGTTTCTTCTTTTACTGGAAATGACACACACCCTCACATATATGCTTACATCTATATATATAATAACGGGTTTATCTTTCACATAGTACTAAGCAGCCGGGAGGAAGAGAGGGAAAACAATGTGCACACATGCCTATTCGTATTGTAAGCATATAAAGAAAGCGAGGTGATAGTATGTAAACTCATTTCACTACCACGTTATTTCGTAGCATAGTCATATATAATCCAATCAAGTAAGAAAATGAAAGACAAACGAATAAAGACAATTCGATTGTTTGTTCTAATAAATACTTTTTTATTCTCTCTTTCGAACAATTTTTGATTGTCAATGTAGCGGATTAGAATTATATTGTTCTAATTAGTCTCCACCCTCAAACATGTTGAATTAAGAACGACTAAGAGAGAAAAGAAGAATATAAACTGTTCCCCCTTATTTTTTTTTCTTTCTCTTTCAACTATATATTCTACAGTGTTTTTTTTTCTCTTCGTTATTCAAAATATGACCAGTTGAGTCCGATAAATAATTGTATTAAAAAGTGAAAGGAGAAAGAACATGGTTTCACCAATACCAACACGAAAACGTCACTTATTTCAGGTTAATCGACATGTACGAGCTTCTATAATGCTATTATCAGTCATGGATGGTGCCGAACTCGATCTTAATAATACAATTCTTTCTTCATCTTCAAAGCCAACAACAACATCATCATCAATATCAACTTCTGATGATTATGAAAAAGGTTTTTATTTTTGTTTAAAAATTAAAAAAAAAATGTTCTTTTAATATTTTTAGATCTTCAATTAGCTGCTGAACTTGGCAGATGTTTACTTGAACGAAATCAAGAATTACAAAATTATATAGATATTTTACAGAAACAAATTGATGATGAACAATGTAATACAAAAGTAAGAAGATTGAAAAATAAACATAAATATAAAATATTTATTTTATTTTTTTTTTTTTATAATGTATTAACATGTCATATCTATATTTGGATTTTAGTTATTACATGCTAAACTTGAATCAACTCGTGAACAACTCGATACTAAATGTAAACAAACAGAAATATTAGATGCAACTAATTTCGATTTAGAACGAGAACTTGCTCGACAACGTCGAGAAAATGAAATAAATCGACAACGTATTCAAGAGTATGTATTTATATTAAAATATTCATTCAACCATAAATATATATATACAAAACATAGACGCATATACAAATATATATGTTTTCATCATTTATGCTTAAATTGTCCGTACATATTAATGTCTAGTCATATCTTCCCGATGGGCATAAACTTGACAATGATATGATTATTAATATATTTAGATCATTATTGATTTTGATTTTTTCTTCTTCTTCTAGGTTATCTGATTTATATGAAAAAACACGTAAACAATATCTTGAAATTGAAAATGAATATGAAACATTTCGATTAAAACAGTCTACAACCCTTTTTTTTCCTAAACAATTACATTCTCCTATACAAAAATCGAATATTTCAATATTGAAATCAACAAATCTACGACGTTCACGTTCGTTTGATTTTAATTCGACATCTAATTCATCATCATCATCGTCGAACATATCAACATCTTTGAATATATTCGATGTATCATCAGCATCAGTTTTTAAAACACATCTTACTGAACTAAAATCACGTATAATTTCATTAACAACAGAATGTTCGAGATTAAATGAAAAACTTGATAAATCTAGACAAGAAAAACGTTATTTAATTGATCGTATAACATTACTCGAACGACAACGTCGTGATGATAATGATTCATTACAAAATGAATTAAATCATTGTAAAAAACTGTTAGAAAAATATACGAATGATAATTCAAATACAATTTTATCGAATATTTATTCACCACCCGAACATGAAGTATCATTATATGATGAAGTTTTATTAGAAAATAAACAATCAATGAATAAACCATCTTATGAATCAACAAATTATAAGGATTTATTTGCTCGTGTTTATGAAAAATTAAAGATAAGTAATAATAATAATGCATGATTTTATAAATATTGTATAAAAAAACTCATCTGTTTCTTCTTTCTCTCTCTTTCTCTCTCTTTCGCGTTCTTAATTCTTTGAACTTGAAGTATTTTATATGTGTTTGTTTTATTTCTTTTCGATACGAGTGCATTTTTCGAATTCATTCTATCTTGTGTTATATGTTGTAGTTCGTGTTTACATGCAGTGTGAATGGATGTTAAACTTGTGTAATTCGTACTGTGTTTGTTCGTTGGTTTCTTTTTTTTTAACAAGTATCTATCACATAATGCGTTTGTTCGCAATCTCGTACACATTGTCTTTCGCTTTTTGAAGCAGTATAGTTCATGTGTGCGCATTGTTTGTTTTCTTCTTCTTGATATTTTATCATTTTCCTATTGTTAATTTGGTTTTTTTTTTCATTGAATAGTTTCGTTATAGTTAATTTTTTTTTTTTTGAAAAATCTTTAACATACAAAAAAGAAGGTCGATAGTTGATATATTATTTAAAAAGTGAAATCCTTTTTGTATTCATCGATAAAAATGAAAGTTATTTGATACTTTTCTTTATTCTTATTGATCATCTTTGTTATTGAAAAAAAAAAAAAAAAGATGGAATATAATTTGATTGCTTACATCTGTGATTAGTTAAAAGTTTGGTATTGTTTATCATTGAAAAATGAACTTTAATCTATACAGAATAATCTAGACGATGCTGTACTTTTGATATTGTTTTTTCTATGTCAATATTTATTTTTAATAGGATTAATTTTATAGTTAAGGTAAAGAATTGATATTTTTCTTTTGAATTAAGTATAGAAAGTATAAATCATAATGAGTAGGAGAATAAAAATGACATAAAAGAATTGTCGAGTTGAACAAACTTAAAAAGCAGTATATAGCTTATTCAATTATGAAGTTTTATTAAATTAACTATCAATAATCATGTTAACAAAGTTAGAAAACATCACAAAAAAAGACATGTCTAAAATATTGTTATCATAATAAAATTGTTTATAAAATGCTGGATTTTTTTTTTATTGATATTCGAATATATTTTGTTTGTAATATTCATACCGTCACGAATCTTAATATTGAAAATCTATACTATAGGACATAAAAATCATTTTATTTATTCGTCATGGCAGCTTCACATATATAATACGTGGATGATTTTAATTCTTCAAGACATAACATCGATATTGACAAGTCTTGATTCCAGTATACATTGAAGTCCATTAATGAACTAGTATCTTGAAATCAAAACAGAGTGTATTGAAAAATGGATGGTCGATCTTATTTTGAAGTATTAGTTAGATATTAGATCATTCAATGAATAAAAAAAAAGACAGATTAAATAGCACTTTTTGTGTGTATTTTTTTGCTACCAATTAATAATATTCTTCCGTAAAGGTACAGTGAAGAAAAAATAACGACGTATTTTAAATTGTTTTGTTTACCTACCTCTTTTTCGTACATTACATATTTGACTAGATTGTATCGACTGTTCGGTTTGTATATAAAAACCGTGCCTAGTTATACTTTTTTATGTTTATTATATACTTTTATTAAACACTAGACAACACATAATTATGTTTCGATTTCTGATGATAGGACTTTTTCTTTTAATCAATAAATCAATAGGATGTACAATCCCTTCATTTTCAAATCTAACTGTTCAATCAAATTTTAGTCTACAAAATTTTCTTGGTATATGGTACGAAATAAAATGGTTATCAAATGAATATCATAATGAATCTGATATATGGCGTGATTATTCTCAATCATTTGAATTAGGAAATAATGTTAGTCAACGCCTTCTTGTTTTCGGTAAAGCCCGATTAATTAACCAAGAAAAATGTTTTTCATTTGGTCCATGGTCAATTCTTGCAAATAATGGTGCGAAAATGATTCTTGAAACAAAAAATCTCAATAGTAGTACTAAACTTAATTGGCCTTATTTTGTTTTAAAAACCGATTATAATCATTATGCATTAATTTATACGTGTATGTCAGAAAATTATACACAAAATAATCCATGCAAAGAATCAGTAGTCTGGGTACTTAGTCGGATAAAATCTTTATCAAATGAATCATTAAATGAACTTGATAATTATATTGCAAATATTTTATGTATTAATATAACAAAACTTGAAACAACTCCACAGGGCGAAAAATCATGCTATGTATCATCATCATTAGGATTACAACTGTATCTAATGAATAGAATTCGTTTTCTTGGATATATTTTATATTTATTTCTAATATACAAATAAATGTGTCTAAAAAGAAGAAAGAATTACTTGTAGTGATATTGTATAATTTATTCATCAATTTTAGTATGAAGTGAATGTGATTCTCGTTTGAGTACCTACGAAAAAAAAAACCAAGATAGTCAATCGAATTATGATAAAGAGAAACTTCTATATTACATTAAGAAGTGTTTGTGAACTTTCAAGAATTTTCATATAAGCAGCTTCAGTTTCACTTATTGTTCGACCAAATTCTGTTCTTGCTGTTATTTTTTTTTGCTAAATTTTCATTGATTTTAGATAATTTTTCACTTGATAAACGTATATCATGTTCAATTTAATGTTTATCTTCTTCTTAAATTAAAATGTGTCGTTGTAATTCATCACGTTTCGCACATAAATCTTCAATACCTATAAATAAATATTTACAAAAAAAAACTTCTTGTGAACACAAACCAAACAAATAAATAATGTATATATACGTTTAGCTATAGTCCATCCAAGAAGCCGGTGGTGTGAGTATTTTTTGAAAAATTTTAGAACAAAACGAGACAGAGAGCTGTGATTTTCACCATTTCAAAGAGTGTTATCAGTAACATTTATCTGTATAACAGCTACTAAGCTTCAAGAGTTCTTTCATGACTACTTTTCAGCTGACATTTTTTTCGCTGTCTTTTTTAATCAAATTTCAAAAGAATTTCAACTGAAACTATACACAAACGTAGCCGACACCACCTTCTATTCCTACAAAAATTATCATGTTCTTAGAAATTCTGTTGACGAAAAAGATTGAAAGAGCAACTCAAAATTTTTATCGCGCATATAAGGTGGTCTTGATTACATATATGTATTGTTTGAGTTGAAATTTGATGAAAAAATATAGCAAAAAAATGTCACTTTAAAAGTAGTCATGAAAGAACTCTTCGAACTTAGTAACAGTTACACAGACAACTGCTCCAGGTAGTACTCTTTTGAATGGTGATAATCATAGGTCTCTACTCTTTTTGTTCTTAAGTTATGCAAAAAATAGTCACATGCATCGACTTTTTCGATGAATTATAATTCATTGTTATAATTTTGTAACAGAGCATGATGATGATATCGTAAACAACAGAAAGAAAACAAAAAAACTTTTTCGTTCTGTGCACGTGTATTTTTTTCCTTGCTTGGATCTTATTGTTAGACATAGAAGACCTATTCTCATTTTTCTTTCGTCCCTTGGTCAGTGCCGACATAGTTGAAACACTACGTCAAGTGTTCTCATGGTACGAGAATATTTTTCTTGTTATCGTGCATTGATTTTTGTTCTTATTAATTTTCTTTTTTTTTCTATAGGGAAAAAGAAGATCGACAAGCGATAAGAAAAGAAGATTTTATTCTTGATAAACTCAATAATGAAACAATATATCAATTACCAGGTTTAATTAATGAACAACAATTTATAGGTAATATTAAGAAAATCTTTAAATCTATTTATTATTGATAAAGTTATTTATATTTCTAGTACAAAACTTTAACATTAGTAATTATTGTTATCATTGCTAAAAATGTATTTTCATTTTTCAATATAAAAAGAATTGTATCACCTATGTATTAGATCATACAGATCAAATACAAGTAGATGATTGTACTAATTGTCGAATATTAATAGGACCTGTTCATGGAAGGTATATAAAAATATTTTTCTTTGAAACAAGTAAATAAATTTTTTGTTTAGTATTTTTATTCGAGATTCAACAAATTGTATATTAGCAACAGTGTGTCAACTAATTATTGAATCATCACTTTATATTAGATTTGGATGTTTAACATTAAGTTATTATAAGAATATATTATTTGTGGGTAAATATAAAGTTTAGATTGAACAAGTATATTGTAGCAAATAAAAGATTGGAAAAAAGAAACACAAAATATAAAGACATGTGATATTTCAACCTTTCACGGTCATTATCAAATATTGATATTGTCGATGTTAGTCATGCATTGATTTTATTTAGTTATTGACTTAAGATGAGGAGTTGGTATTGCTCATTTCACATTATCTATATATTTGCTCCATTTATATTTGATAATAACTGTGAAAGGTCTAAATATCATCTGTTCAATTTTGTCGACTTCTTCCGAAAAGCTCAATATCAAAAAATGCTTTCAGAAAAAAACCCACTTGCTCAAATATATTGCTTCTTTTTTCTTAATTGAAGAACAGTTCATAAAATAAATATATCAGAAATCAAAATGAAAGCAAAAAGAAATCTAAACTGTTGTAATATTTTCTTTTTTTTTTTTTAAATACATTGGATTTCAATGAGGAGAAAATGGTAAACTAAAAACTGAAGTCTAATACTAACGGTACTCGACAAATTAATGGTGTTCATATTACTGCTCGAGAATATAGCCACGCACTCCTGTAGAATAATCTTCAATTAGTCTAACATTATATGCAACTGATTTTTCTATTTATAAATACTCTTCAAAAAATGTTTGACTCGCTTTCTACTAGTGCCCTCTCTGACCAAGCTTTTTAGTCACAATCATTCATTGTCGTTTATCGGGGCCCCGGCTCCTTTTCTTGAATGATAGTTTTTGTGAATACGATTAGATAAAGGCAAAAACCAATAAAACATGACGAGATTATTAACCGAAAAGAAGCAAATTATGTTCTTAATAACATATAATTGAGTTTTTTTGTTTAACTGTATTTCTGACAAAATATGCACTTTAATGATGACTTGCACTGATTGTAATATTTGTGTTGTGAAAAAACTAATATAGTCAACTACATTCATGTACGATATGTGACTTTCTGTGATCCACAGACACGCTGGATACTAATGCACAGTTCCTTTATCTGTATGTTGTTTATGAATGATTCCTAAGATTAATTAATGATAAATGAAAGAATTTATTTTTATTTAAATAATAGAGCAATATAAAGCGGCTGATGTTAGTCCATGGAATAATACTTGGGGTAATATTCATGATTTTACATCAATTCCTGGTGCAAATAATTATTCATTACTTGATCCAGTAAAGCTTTATTTTTTGATCGAATTCAATTTTGTTTTATTATTGTTTTTTTCTTTAATAGAATGAAAATTTATTTAAATATTTACCAATTCCATTGGATCCATCATGTAGTCATTTGAATATAAATGATAATATGGAAACAAGTATAACACCTTTTACTTATGGAGAATTATATCGTAATAGAAATGAAGAAGTAAATGATAGATTAGTGATTTTAAAAGTTATTTTTTATTTTTTATTTTTGTATATTTTAGCGTTGTTTAGTAGTATTTTTTCATCATTCAAATGCTGATTCTTGTGCTCGAGAATTAATTGCAATGACAAAACAATCACAAGTTTGTGTATTAGAAATCGTTTTTCCATGAAAAGAATTTTTCGTTTATCAATTTAGCTTGTATTGGTTCAAACAAAATGTTATTTAATAAATGAAATGAGTGCTTCACGATTATTTTCAGGAAATTCAGCATATAATTCGTTAGTTACAAAAGGTCCTGTTATAGGACTTGAATTTGCTGGTACAAATTGTGTACAAATATGTCAACAATTACTTAATGATTTCATCAAATTGAAATATCAAAATTTACCTTGTAAGATTTCAATGATAAAAATTTTGTAAGAAACTAAAATTAAATTTTCATCTTAGATTTTACTAGTCAATCAGCAACAGATGCTCATGAACAACTTGATAAATTTTACAATTTTGCAAGTATGCAAATGTTTGCATAAGATGATATTTCATTTTGTTTTATTGAAAAAAAGCAATCTTAACAGTTTATTCATATTTAATTGTGCTTTAATAATGACGAAGATGTTGTATTTGTATTTTTATGTTGTCTTTATCCGTCCATAGTCTTTAACAAAAGAAAAAAATCGCCTACTTAACGAGTCATGAAAATAGAAGCAATGTGAATTTGAATTATAGATGCTTTTGTTTTGTAGATTTTGATTTGTTTTTGTTTATAAATGACAAGAGATTGTTTATGACAATGAAAGAATGACGGCAGCAGGTGTAAGTTCAACTGAAAAAAATGCATCACCTGGCGATCAACAACGTTTAAATGAAGGTAATGGTAATGACAATGAAGATAAAATTGTTCAAGAATTTAGTCATCTTTTGGAAAAATCAAAACAATTATTTAATGGATTAAGGTATAAATTTCTTTTTTGTTTTTTTTTTTGAATGATTTTCTTTCGGCAATGAATAGTTGGATCAGTCGATAGAGAAATTGTTCGTGTTTATGCAGAAATACTTAATCTCAGATAGAGCCACACATAGCAAGGAGAAATGGGAGAAAAAGAATATAAATATATATCTACCAATCACTAAAGTTGTTTGTTGACATCTGATTATGTAGTTAGAAATGGATGAGAATAATTTCTCTCTGAGTAATTTACATTCCTGCTGAAAGAAATCTATTTCCACAGAAATTTCTCCATAGGATGAAAAAGTAATATTGAAATCTCATCAAGGGTATTCGCTTTCCTTTCGATGTTTCTCAAGAGCGGCTCTACCAAAAATTTTGAAAGTTTCAGAATAGATAGATTTCAATTAGCAGAATAAAAGTTGTCATAGACTGAGATGCTCCAAATGTTTCCTTCTATGAGATATAGGGTGTAGCGGCGTCAAAAATGACGTTAAGTTTTTCTTCCTCCCTACAAACAGCCAGAATTCGTTTTTTATAGCTGAATTTTTTTGTAGCAACTATGACCAAATCAGACTGTATATTTTTTTCTTTGCTTAGGAGAACTAAACTATCGAAAGCCTTGTCAAAAATCATCAGAACAGCATTTTAATAAAAAATATGTGTATACCTTGATTTGACTCTAGTTGTCATACACAAAATTTCAACTCAATCAATCGAAGCATATGGGAGAAAAAGAAAGAAGGCTTAAATTTTCCTCGAGATAAGTTGATTTTTCAGTAAACGTGAAACATCTGAAAATGCCTTTTTTTTTCAAGCTCTCGCATACCGATCGCAAGGATGCATCACTTTTAGATACTAAAAAGTCGATTCTACTTATGAAAGTAGAAATGAAAGAATTTTCTACTTTTGGGAGATATTGTCTAAATCTCTTTTCTTGTATATCTATGTGTTTTTTGTTGTCCTTCAGAGATCTTCCACAATATGGTCATAAACAATGGCAACCATATTTTGGACGAACATTTGATGTATATACTAAACTATGGAAATTTCAACAACAACATCGGTATAAAATTTGTTTGTTTTATTTTAATTAAATTTTATGTTTCTTTTTTTCTTTTTTTTTTAATTAGAGTTCTTCTCGATAAAAAATATAATCTTAAACGTTGGCAAATAGGTGAAATAGCATCAAAAATCGGTCAACTTTATTATCATTTTTATATTCGTACATCAGAAACAAATTATTTAAATGAAGCTTTTGCATTTTATTCAGCTATACGTACACGTGCCTATTATTCAAAAGTAAATCGTGAAGAAAAACCTGATCTTATGGTTAAAAAATTACGTTATTATGCACGTTTTATTGTTGTTTGTCTTTTATTAAAAAAAACAAAAATAATGCGTGAATTAGTATGTGAATTAAATCGACAAATAGATGAATATGTAAAAGCATATGATCCAGATGATAGTCTTGAATGGCAACTTGTTCTAAATGAAATATCAACATTTATTGATGTTGATAATCAATTAAATATTGATCATATACCAATAACATTATCATATCGTTTAACTAATTTCTTAATACCACCATTACCAATAGGTTCAGAAAAAATTTTATCAAATATACAATTATATACAGTTGAAGAAATACTTATTATTGGAAATTATCAAGATCAAATTAAATTTAGTGAACGTAAGAAAAAAAAAAGAAATATTCTTCTATATTGATTTAGATAAGAATATTTTTTTTAGTTACAATTGACATGTATCGAATGTTACAAGCTGTTGAAAAACAATCAATTGAATCAACATCATCTTATGATGAAAAAACAACTGTTCAATCTCCAATATCAACAAATCATCAACAACGTGACATCTATGTAAGGATATTTAATTAATTATTATCATTTTTTTTGTTATTGTCACAAGAGACATTTTTCTATTAATAATGTGCTCTCATGTTGAAAATATTATCGTGACTCTTATAATAACTATTGTCGATTTAGATAGTCGATGCATATGACTATTTTTTGAATAAATTGAGAACAAAAAGAGATAGAAAATTGTGGTTTTCACTATTCAAAAGAACGATATCGAAAATATCTATTTGTATACGATTGACGAAGTTTAAAAGATTCTTTCATGGCTTCTTTTAAACTAATCAAGTTCACTAATAATAGAGATAAAAATTTCATTTATGTATGCTACAGTAAAACTTTCCATAGTGGATACCATCGATATACATGAAAAGAGATAAAAGTTCGAGCGGTTATGCTGTAAATTCATTTCTAATGAATAAAAAATATTTCTGAACAAAATGAGATGTTTTTTGGATTCATTCAAGTTTTGAAATCTAAATTTAATTCGTATACATACCACTAACCAATTGTTTTTTCACCGAAAGAGCAACGAATTAAACGTTATCGATCATGCTGATTCTGAATATAACCATAACAAATTCTCTTAGATTTTTATATGTTGGTTTCACTGGCTGTATTTTCTGCAAAGAAAAAACGATTTGAAACAGAAAAATTTACTGTTCTCTAGGCAATGCAATATGTTCTGTAATTTAAATAGATCAAAAAAATTTTTTGACGAAAATTTTGTTAGTCTGGAAGACCAATTTTCTTATGGTCATATTCGGAATTACCATGATCAATATCTTACAATTCATTAGGTTTCGATGAAAATGCGACTGGTCAGTTACATTTGAAAGAATAATTTCAGTAATGTTTCGAACATTTTCTTCTTTCAATTCAGCGTATTTCATTCATTCAAGTAAGATAATTTTATTTTCTAAGACTGTGCAATTATAGGAAAAATATGATACTAAACCCGTTCTTTCTAAGAATAAAATGTCATGACCTTTTATTGTAAGCTAGTTGTTTTTGCTAACATTTACCTAGAAAATCAAGGGTGTCCAAAAAAGTAAACCCTGCTTTGGTTGTCAAAGTCGAACCTAAACCCTATAATTTTATATTTATTAAACTAAGCAAGAATAAAAAACGTGAATATTTTTGTTTTTGAGCTAATTATTGAAATCTTAATTTTTATCATTTAGAATCTATACGATGGTGATTTTCAAAATCGACCAAATCCTCATAAATATCTTTTATATAAACCAAATTTTAGTCAAATTTATGCTTTTACTGCATCTGCATTTAAAGAATTACCAAATCATGGTATACTTCTTCTTTATATATCAGCTGATGGTTATGATACACATTTAAAAAGTAAAATAGAACAATCCTATGATTTTGGTGGTGTTAAAACAAATAATCGTCGTGATGATACAAATGAAAATTCAAATTCACCACCAACATCAACAACAAATACATTAGGAAAAAAATCTCCACCATCATTATCAACAACAACAACAACAACAACAACAACAACAATAGGTTCAATTAAAGATATTCATAATATATTTCCAGGAGATCTTTATCCATTTTTACGTAAACCATTATTTTTAATAATTGATAGTAATAATAGTATTGCTTTTCAAAATATGCCGAATTTATTTGGTCAACCATTTGTATCATTACTTTCACCTATTAAATTACCAACAGTATTTCATGGTAATACAAAAAAAAAACCAAATATCAAGAATTTTTCTTTTTGTTCTTTTTTAAATAGATTATCAAAATAAAGGAAGTTTATTTACATTATTTTTAACATCGCCTATATTTGCATTTTGTTTTGTATGTCATTTAAATGATTTAACAAATGAACAATGGAATTTATGTCTAGAACATATTAATAAAATTATATTTGAAATAACAAAATTATTTTTAAAATCAAAACTTGTTGGTAAGAAAGATTGTTCGTTTTGGTTTTTTTTTTTTTAATAAAAAATGAATCTTATTGTTTTTTTATTTTTTTTTTATAGACAGTACAATTTATCATTTTTTTGCGGATGAATTTTTACGTTTATTTCTTTCACGTTTTGTTTTTTGCTATGCTGTACTTCGTTTACATCGAGCATTTAAGGTAAGAATTTAATTTAAATAATAAGAAAAATTTATTTTTTATTTAAAATAAAAAAATATATATTTATTAGGGATCTGGTTTTTATCCATCATCTCAACCTCAATTATCAAATGATCTCCTTGAAAATGTTCAAGTACATAAAATGATTCTTGAATTATCAGCTTTATTAAATGTTCGTCAATTATTTCTCGAAGGGCCATTGACAACTGCTGATTTAATATCATCAAATCAATAATAATAATCTAGTCGTTTAAATAAAAATATATAAATAATAATCTCAAGTGTTTTGTCTCTCTCTCGCTCGCTCGCTCTCGTTTTTTAGTCTTCCGATTAATATTTTTTGTGTTGATTTTGTTCGTATGCAAGTGTATTATCTATTATAATGTAGTGAGTACTTTTGATATAAATATTTAATCGTGTTTGCTGTGTGCAATTGTTGTCGTTTTTTTCTTCTTGTCTTTATTGTGAACAATCTTCCTCTCTCTCTCTCTCTCTCTCTCTCTCTCTGTGTCTCATTTTTTTGTTTGTTTTCGTGTATGAAAAATCTTTTTTCTTATTCTGCTTCAAAGCATTGATAGTCATAGATAAAATTGATGAATGGCAGAAGCGCCGGAAAATAATTTAATCATGAGACAAATGAGAAGATTTTTTTTCTTATCATGAAATCTCTTGTTGTTTTATTCATGGCTTAATTAAAAATGTGGATTTGATGGATTATTATAAAACATTTGTTTTATTTGTTCTTTCATCAATGGAATGAATATGTCTATTATAAAGAATTAAGTTTCGTTCATTGACAGATAAGATGCATAAGAATTTGAGAAGTCTTATGAATTATTGATGAATAAAGAAATATTTGCTGAAGTAAAAGATTAATGATTTTATTTAAGTAAAAAATGGGTACTTATGAAGATAAAAAATAGATACTTATTAAAGAAGAAGTTTTTTGTTTAAAAACATACATTAAAACAGAAATCGTACAAATTATAAGCATTATACTGATTAATAATGTTAAAACATTGATTATGAAATCAGTCTATCGTTTCATAATGATTGAGTACTTTGTTGTTATTATTTATTGCTTCGCAATTTACAAGAAATTATAGCAAAAGATAATTAGTTTAAAAAGAAATAATTATAATTTTCAAAAATTGTATATTAGAATTACCTAATAATATAATCAAATTTGAAATAAGTCATTGTATCTCATCCTTGGATACATTTATGTCTTTACATACATGACAAATGTGTACTGTCTATCATTATATAATGGTGATATTTGCACTTTATCATGGATCTCAAAAGTCGAAAATAGTTTCACACCTAAATTAAGTCAGACAACTTTTTTTTAGACTGTCATATGTCTGTAAAACTACATAGATCATTATAGTTGATGAATAAATGATACATGTGGAAAAGAAGCTCATTGTTGCAGAATACCTACCTTTTAACTCAAGTCATGCGAACGTTCCTTTCTTCATATGTAAGGAACAGGAAGAAAGAGATAGAATACATAAATATATTGAAACTTTCAGTCATTGCTTTGAGTCTTACGAGCAAGTTCAAAATGTGGTTTAATTATTCCTTAATCATGAGAGAAGATCTTGTACCTACTGATCCTCAATTTTGGAATCAACTAACACCTATATATTGTGATACTGTTCGAATTGTTGGTATATTTTTATGTATCGCATCTGTTATTGGTATCGTTCTAAATGGATCTCTTGTTTACAGTTTTATTCGATATAAAGCTCTTCGTACATCACCCAATATGCATGTTATGTTTATTTCAATTGTTGGTCTTTTAGCATCATGTACAATTCTTCCATCGACTGGAACATCATCAGTTTATTGTAAATGGTTATATAAACGTGCAGGATGTCAATTAAGTGCTGTTGTGGCGTTTTTCTATGGATGTTCAAGTTCTTATTTACTTTGTGTAGTAAGTCTTAGTCGATGTTATATTATTATGCGTCCATTTGCTGCTAATAAAGTTACTGTAAGTACTAAATTTATAGATATATAATCAAAAACTAAAAATGAAATCAATACAGGTTAGAAAATCTATTACGATATCATGCTTTGCTATGTTTATTGCTTTTATTTGGTCATTGTTGCCAGTATTTGGATGGAATGAATATGTTATGGAAGTAAGTTTTTTTTCCTCATATTTCTCTAATTTCATATAGCAGAATTATAATAATCAAAAGATCTTTAATTTTTTTTGTGTATCTCAGTTTTTTTAAAATAAAATTTCTAAAACACAAGGGTTTAATATCTACGATATCTCATATATATATAAATATATTTATTTTTTATTTTTAGGGAGTTCGTACTTCATGTTGTATTAATTGGTATGATCGACGTCTTTCTTACATATCGTTTACATTTTTTCTTTTCTTCATTGTGTATTTTATTCCATTGGTGATTCTTATTGCAACGAATACTGTTACTTTAATTGGTTTTAAACAAATGCGTGAAAAAATTAAACGTGGTATGCATACAATATTCACACGAAAACGTATTGAAATGGAACAACGTATTGTTAAAAGTAAGAAACTTTGAAGAAAAAAAGAAATATTAAAGTAAAATTTTGTTTTTCTTTTCCGTAACAAAGGTATTATTATTACGACGTTAGGTTTTATTTTCACTTGGACTCCATATTCTGTTGCATTGTTTATTTCAGCATTTCGTGGAAAATATTATGCTATGCCACCATTAATTACTTTCATTTGTGCTTGTTTTGCTAAATCATCGGTTATATGGATTCCGTTACTTTTTATTGGTACATCTACTCAATTTAAATTAAGATTTGTTAATGCAAATCGATTAAATTATCGAACAAGATCTGATCGTGTAGCGGGTAAAATTGTACATACATTTGCATTGGTTCGTAATAACAATAGTTCAATTACAATTCGTACACTTCGTACAGTTCCTGACAAAAAAAAACATTCAACAATACGGACTAATATATATTCGAATTAACCTTCCAAAGTTATTTCTTGGTTCATTTAATAATTGATATATCTTCTTTTTTCTTTTTGTTTTATCATATAATATAAAGTTGAGACTGTATTACAATAAAATGGCAGTAAATTGAATCAATAGTTTGATTTTTTTTTTAAAGAATAATGATGAAAGATATCGAACAATGATTTTTTTTAGTTGTAATTCATTAGGATATCATTGTGAGTCTTGCCAAGATTTAATTTTTAATCTTTTTAAAATTACATTTGGTAAGAAAAACAAAGGAAGAGTTTATAATGCAAAATACTATTTTATCATAAAACTTATATTTTATTTTATTTTGTTTTGTTCAGATATACATAGAAGTTATAAATTCAAATATATATCATCATTGCTTTCAACTCAGAAATAGGCCATTTTATTGACGCAGAAACTTACTATCCTATCTTGAATGAGTTTCCATTGTAACATAATTATTTTTTCTAATAATGAAAATTGCGAACGATATTTGTTGGAATATTTTTGTTACAGCATATGGTTATCGGTTTCTTTAACTTATTTTTTATGATTAGTAAATGAAGGAATCCTCTATACTCAAAAGAAAAACAAAATATCGAGCGAGGTATCAGCAAAAAATGTTTAGTTTCTCGAGTAAAATTTACATTTATTTAACATATTTCACATATTGCCTCAGTAACTAAAATATAAAATATTCTATGATTATTATGTGCGTAAAATATTACATTTAGTAACGGGAATGGTTCATCTTGTTGATAATTATATATAGCGTTCCGCTATTTTCTCGAAAGAAAATCATTTCCAGAACAAGTTGAAATGACTGTCAATCCTTATTAAGTTAATTGCCTAAGTGGAATATTTGAAATTATTTCTTCGTTCTCCCAGCCCTTGGCATAGATTGTTTTTTTTTGTTTGGGTGAAAAAAAACACTAAAACAAATAAATAAAACCTAAAAAAGAATAAAAAAAAGGATTTCATATCGTTTAGAGTGTGTGTTGACATTAGCAAAAATAATCAAGCAAGAAAAAGCATATCTCGATATTCTCTACTATTCTTGTTGTTCTCACGTAAGTTAAAGAAATAGAAAATTTTACGTTCTTCATTCATTCATCGTTTATAACTTTCGACAGATGCAAACTCGAAGTATTAAAGAGTACTCCAATAGCAGTGAAAGAGATGCAGGTTTTTTTAAAATTTTGTATAGTCGTTAAATTAATATTAACTTTTGAAAATCGATTCAGTTCTTCCTTATAATTACTTTAGTGTTTCTTCTTCAAAAAAGGAAGACTTAATTTTAAATAAATAAACTTTAAAATCAACCTTGTCATCAATTGCATAATATTTCTCCATCAAATGGTTTCTTTTATTTCATCTTTAGACGTGAAACAGAGAACAACAAAATTATGACACCCACTGTATATTTGATTGTTATGTATTACATACTTGAATAATAGTTTTATTATCTGTTTAATCCTAAGAACAACTATTGATTATATATCTCTAACAAATTTATTTTATATTTAATGATTTTCAAAAAATCTTGATCTTAATTTATTTTCACATTATTTTTGTAATGTTGATTTATTTCTGCTGATTCCAATATGGTTGAATAGTCGACAAAGAATAATAAGAAATTTTCTATTTCGATATCATTGCCATCAACTTCCGCGAAAAAAAAGACAATGAATCGAAATATTACAATTACAAATGACAAAAACATTTGAATTTTTTTTCAGAAATTATTTCTTATTTATTGATTTCATTCTTCTCAATATGATCAGTAGTTTTAATAAGCTTTTTAACTATATTTAAACTTAACTGAAGTAGTAGGTAACTGTCTATTGAACTCTTATTTAATAAAGAATTTTTATTTTTTGTTACTTTCACTCAAGAAATAGGTTCTATCAATTTGAACTTTTCTATGTCGTGATCATTATTTTGAGATACTAAATTTTATTTTTTTTTCAATTTTTAATGGAACTTTATTTCACGATTTTTATGATATCACATAAATTTTGTTTGTAACTTCCAATCGTAGTCCTTATAACTGTCATTTCTCTTTTTACGATAGGTGAAAATAGTATCAAAATATATCGATATATGCAGTATTGTTTCTGAGCTATAAAACAACGGTGAGATAAGTAGATAGACTTCATGACGCAAATGAATTACAAAATAATTCAAAATTTTTAAATGTCATAAGAGAGATTTGCTTAAACTATCTGCCACAGATAACAAGGGTGTAGATGTACACTAACCAACACCTCCATCTTTAAGTGCTTATCGTTCTTGTGTTAATTCGGACCCTCTTGCCGAAGTCTGAGATCGCTTCGCTCCGTATGTATGTAGTCATTTGCGAGCTTTCTTTTTTTATCTACTAGACGTAAGCATTCAAAGCTATATTTTTTGGTCATGATGATCTTAAAAACTAGAAGTTAGAAAATACTGGTTCCAACGTTTGGATGAAATTTCATGATCGAATCTATACCGTTCTTTTTACCAATCTTCAGCAGGATGTTCAATTTTCTTACAAAAAGTCATCCAAAAAGCTAAACTTTTGTAAACGTAGCCTTTTTCACAAGCTTCAAGATAACTAAAATGATGATAGCAACAAAAGTTAACGTCTGTTTCTCTGCTTATAGCTACAACAACTATGAATACAGTTGACAATGAATAGTATTAATTAGAAACACATTCAAACTCGTAATAAAGTTCTTAATAGTAATGAATTTTACAATCATTTGCTTTCACTTTCTTACAGACGTTATGCTTTGACCAAGGTTGTTATGAGGGACGACCGAAAAATCGCATCTTATAACTTACACATACTATTTTCCTTCGTCCAATATGTGACTTCTACAAAACAAATATCTGATTTCCACACAAACTTAATACGGTAATGATAATCAAATTAAATTTGTCAATTATTATTTCTCGTCTTGCTCGTGACTCATAATTGGAATTACATGCTTGATATATAAAGATAACTAATCGACTATTAATATATATTATCACCGATACATATGTCACATAAGAATACAATAATGAATAAATAAAACCATGAACATTTCTAAATGATGTCAGATAATGATATTGTTGAGGAAAATACGAGAATATATTTAATGTTGCTCATGCTGGTGTTGTAATAACTACTAATAGAAATTAACTAACTAATCAAATGTAATAGATTGTAAGTAAATATACAATTCAATGACAAACAATATAGTATTTTCGAATTAAATGTTGAATGAAATTTAATTTGAAAAAAAATACTCTAATATATAAAAAATACAAAACTATAAAAGAATGCAGTTGACAGTGAAAAAAATATAGCAACTCATAATTGACAAGCCAGTAAATCTTCAAGATATNGCCCACGCCCACGCCCATAGAAATAGACGTACAAAAATAACTTTTGATTACTAGTCTCACATCTAGAATCCGTCGAGCTGATCTTGAACTCACTTGAGTCCAGATCCGTTTCGGAAATAATAAAATTTTGATCGACCGAGTGAGTGTCGCAATAATGTTCAATAAATCGAATCCCGGTGTGAAAATTTTAGAAACGATGGGACTCTACTCATGCCAAACGAGGTCATTGAATATTATAAAAGGTCAGGATAATTGCTTTAATTTTGTTTTTGATAATGATTTTTATTAGTAAATTATAATTGTTCAATATTGTCAATATCGCAGCTTGTCTATAGTACTGATTCTATTCTTAACTTCGAATGGAACTGTTTGTCTTATTAGTTAATAAGATAAGACATATCCGAATCAAATGAAAGCTTTCATGGTGAATCTAAAAAAATTAAAATATCAGCTGTCCTTGCCGGGCATGAACCGAAATATTCGAATTTTAAGACATATATAATTCATATAAGATGCTTGGAATGCAACATTTCAGCAAGGTTTTCTTTTTCGATTTTCGCGATGGTTGAATAGAGATAATCGAGTTGCATAAGGGAAAATGTATTTCAAATAAAAAGAAACTTTTCACAAGGACCATTCAAAATACCATCATTTTAAGACATAACAGAAAAAAGGAATCAAAATTCTAACCGTTGAAGAACAAAAAATTTTGTAGCTTAAAATATTTTTTTTCAAGTAACTTGATGAGTTCTGGCCAGCCATCATGGAAATGGAAAAAAATTCTGCTGAAATTTGGATTACGAACACCTCACATATACTGTAAACTAGCAGAGGTACCCGGCGTTGCCCGGGAAATTTGATAGTACATCCGTGACAGTAGAAGTTCAAAAAAATCTATCTGTACTGAAAAGCAGTTTTATTGTAAAGCAGATTGATACACAATGTTTTTAGTTTTCAAATAAGGGACAAAGACGTACAATTTTTTTCCAGTACCCACTCTTGAACATGCCACGCAAAGTAGACCGCGAGAAAAGCAAGGGATTTCCAGGTAAATGTCGGCAATCTTAAGAGACTATCCTTGAGCTTTGTTGATGGACATCGCAAAGGCGAGATGAACCGGAAATTGTAGACGTTTGAATTCAAAAGGCATATCAGTAGGAACCATGGTTATTCGTGGTATGGATACATGCTCACTCTTTGCGTAGCCTGTCAAGACTATTTCTCTCATCGTACATCAGAGATAGAGATTAGAGAATTTCAACTTTCACAATCTGGGTGGCATTACATCCCATTACCTTCCTTTCCTTGTCTGTCGCGCCAATATATTCTCAATTTTTCTCTCAACTAAAGAGAATATAATGGAAAGTTTGATGGCGCTAGTTATTACCGAAGTCAAATGTACAAACAGTAGACAGACAAATATCATTATTTATATAAACAAAAGAAGATACTTGCTTCCATGCCCTGTACCCACATTCAGCGCTTAGATTCCTGAATCGAACTCATTGCCTCTAGAGCCCCTACCTAATTTTTCTCCTAACGACCGAAGACGGATTAGCTAGGTTTCTTAGTAGCTGAATTCCTATTGGTTTCCAAACAACTCATTAGATTTCAAGGCAAATAGACTTCACATTCGAACTCACTACTTCAAAAAACTCCCTGGTCCATCATTTCCTTCAAAGTATAAGCATTTGGGCCTATTTTCTTAAGACCTGAATTCCTATTGGTTTCGAAACAACCAATCAGATTTCGAGGCGAATGGGTCTCACATTCAAACTTTCCGACTCGAAACACCCCCTGCTCCATCATACTCCGAAAGTATAAACGTTTTCGTCTGTTTTCTTAAGAATTGAGTTCCCATCGGTTTTCAAACAACCAATCAGATATCGAGGCAAATAAACCTCAGATTTGAACTCACAGTCTCTAAAGCCCCCTGCCCCATCATTTTCTTGGAAATATAAGCGCGTTGGCCCGTTTTCTCAAGAGCTAAATTCCTATTGGTTTTCGACCAACCAATCAGGTTTGGAGGTAAATGGCCACCAAATTCGAACTCACCTCCCTCGAAAACTCCCGTCTCATGATTTCCTTCTAAGTATAAACATTTGTGTCTGTTTCCTTAAGAGCTGAATTTCTATTGGTTTCCAAACAACCAATCAGATTTTGAGGCGATTGGACCTCAGATTCGAACTCACCGCCTTGAAAAACCGTGTTCCCCATGATTTCCTTCAAAGTATAAGTGTTTGGCTCTGTTTTTTAAAGAGCTGAATTCCTATTCGTTTCCAAATAACCAATCAGATTTCGAGGCAAACGAATCCCAGATTCGAACTCACCATACTCGAAAGCCTAGAGTTTCATATTTGGTGCATGATCATAAAGTATAGTTCAATAGTTCTTCTGTAGCACTAAATACTGCAATTGGATTGGTCGACTACAAAGGTGAGCTTTTTTGCAGGTGCAGAAACTTTTTTTTTCGAAAAAAGTTGATGTTGACCTGCTCCTGGATGAGACGAAAATTCCTGGAAAGTTTGGTTGTATTTTCTCTTACCGTGTCCAAGTGAATAGCGAACAGACAAACATTCTTCTTTATATATATAGATTGTAGTAATTTAACAAAAGAAGGGGGCAAAACACCCCCCCTCAGGTGAAAATTTCGGGTCGAAAACCACCCTATGACCGTTCCCTGGACGAAAGGGTACTTCCTGCAAAATTTCAGTGCATTTGCTCATACCGTGTTCGAGTGAATCGCGAACAGACAAACAGACAAACTTTCTTCTTTATATATATAGATAACTTAAAATTCGAATATCTCGCACCGTGTACGATTAGATCAGCCAATATTTTTTAATTTGTTAGTTTACTGGTGAAAGCTTTAAATGGATCCGCATATGTTTAGTCTTATGAAGTAACAACACAAAAACATCCATTGTTGAAAACATTACTAGCCAACTGTGGGTTTAACTGATTATGTTGCTAAAATTCGAAATAAATCATGGGTTACAGACAAGATCATAGACTACCATATCAAGAATATTAAATATGAGAAGTACAAGTGTCAGAAGACTCATATTTCAAATCTCCAATATTCCAGAATCAAAAGATATATTACCTCAAATTTCGTAGCTCATTCAACAACATTATTCAGCCTTTCGATTACAACTTATATTGCAAAACAAAAATCTAGACAAGTCAAATATATTTTTGTTTTTTCTTTATGACTCGACGTTATTCTAACTCGTGATTGCTCTAATTATTAGTTGGATCTTGTGATCTATCATAAGTATTTGTCACATTTAGTGATAGAATTATATTACGTATCGTTTCAACTGATGGTGTTTCATTATTCAGTGATTACATTAATGTTACGGGACGATTTGCCGGTAATGTAGGTGTTTGCTGAGGTTGTTGTTGTGTTTTTCGTTCTGTTTCTTGTTTAATCATCAATTGTTGAATATGCATTGGAAATCCAGGATTGAGATTCAATGCATATGATAACAATGCTTTCGACATGCCATCAAAATCAACTATCACTTTGATAAACATTGTGTCATCTCGTATATATGGATTACCTTCTTGCTGAATCATCGTCAATGGAAGGAATTTAGGTATACCACTAGCAATATTCATTTCTGATCGAGGTCTTTGAAAACTATTCGATTTAATATCAGGTCGAAAAGAATCGATAATGTGTCGTTGTGTAGGAGTTTGATCATGCAAACAAAATGTAACTTTATAACTGAAGGGAAATTTTAATATAGCATCATTTGGACCACGCATGAGAACAAAAAACAATGACACATGTGTACGTCGAGCATTGCCATCACCATTTAGATAAAGTCGAGCTCTCATTTTGTAGCCAGTTACGGATGAATAAAATGGAGGTGAATAAATCGAAGTTTGTCGTTCAGATTGAGCATCCACTACAAAAGGCATAACTCAATGAAAATATGTTCTTTAATTTTGTCTTTCAATTTTTTGTTGTCAATGACAGAAAAAAGGATTTAGTGAAAATTTACAAATATTTGAGTCTAAAAAGTATTTAAAAAAGATCTTTTGCTTACAATGGATAAATTTACAATCATTCTCGACAAACAAACTGAAACGTTCATTTCAATGATAAAATTTTGTTTGTTTTCGAATTAAACTTACTCATTTTTTCATGAAAACTAGTTATTTTCCAAATTAATGTTCCATCGTAAGATACATATTGCATATCATCAATTTTTTGTTTCAGTGATGCAACATCTTGTTGAAGAATATTTTGCTTTGGTTCAAAATCATCTAAAAACGAACTTTGTTCTTGAATACTCAATTTGATCGATGAAAATTCTTCTGTCACAGATTTAATTGAATTTTGTAATCGAATTGATTCATTATTAAAACGTTGTGCATCATCATTTAATGTTTGAATTCCACTAGCAAGAATATTTATTGTTTCACAAATTTCTTGAATTTGTGTACTGGTATTTCGATTTGTTGTTGTAAGTATTGAACTAAATGCACGTTCTGCCATATCAATATCCATTCCTGATACACGTTCATGTTGTTCATTTGTTTCTTTCGACAGAAAGCGACGTATGATACTAATTATTACTTTTTGATGAATATCACTCAAATAATGCTCTTGTAATTCACCTCGACAGATCTAAAGAAATTATTCAATAATGTTTATTTTATTAATTTTTCGAACAAAAATAAAAAGATAATAGAAACGAATTTAACCTCTAAAGTCTAACCTTTTAATACTCTATCTTAATAAAATATAGACTTTATCTATAATAATCAACTTTTTAGATAAACTAATAAGAGATGAGTTCATATGATTTGGGTCTGCATACTTCTCAATTTCAATAAACTAATTTTCTATCGTTTCTATCTTGAAAACTGTTTATTTGAATAATTTCAACTTACTGAATCCAAACAAACATATTCTTTAAGTGCGCAAGGCACAGTTATTTTGGTACATTCTTTTTGTTTGTGTTCATCAAGTCGAACCATTGAATCAAATTTTTCTCCACAAAATTTACATATTGGATTTGGATGAATTGTTTTTAGGTGTTCCTGAAACACGAATTCCTCGTAAGATGGAAATAAATGAAAAGCTTTGTATTAAATCACAANTTGTTCGGGCCATATGAAAGAGGGTCCCTAGAAACCCCCTAATCGCCCCGAACAACACTATGTTTTATCCTTATAATAGTGGAGAAAACCTTTCCTGATTCATTTTTACACCTAAACTTAAAAGTTAAATATCTCCCTCTAGGCAAGCCAACAGCCGCTAATATTTTAACCTTGTTAGTTTGGCATTGAGAGCTTTCATTTGACCCGAACATGTGCCACTTTTTCGCTCAACAATACACACACCTCCATCGTGAGTAAAATTCTAAAAAAGAACATTTGTTATGCTGACTTATTTAAATAAGTGTCGATTAAATTACTCAGTATTGTTTTATTCTTATTTCGACGTAATATATATTTGAATCTATACTTATGTATAAACTATGTTCTTTCTAATGAATATAAAAGTAATTCGAAGAAAATAATGAAAGTGAAAACCTAAACATGAAACATATCAAATTCGACTGAAAATACTGTAGAGTGTCAAGAAATGCTTTATACAGAGAACAGTAAAAATGAAAATAAAATCTGTAATATCATCAAAGACACAATTTCAATATGATTTTTATTCAAACAGTCAGAAACAAATTTAATGTGACACATGAAAGAGATGATTTTATCGAAGCAATGTATATGAGTAATATTTGTTGTCGTGCAAATAATAATTGTCTCAATAAAGAATTACATTTAAAATTATCATAGACCTTTTTTATTGTGCTGTAATAAAGAACTACTTTTATGGAGACGACACGCATATAACTTAGACTTTTATAGACATGTACTACTCAACTGTAAATAAATCAGTGATATTGTAGAGAGCGAAGGAACTTTTTCGAAGGGTGATGGTGCACGATCACAGCCTGAAATCTCTTTTTCTGACTTATCTAAGTTAGTGTAAGCTCGTTTTTGTTGGAAACTCTCGCAAAAAAGTACCTCCAAGAGTGATGAATCGAACAATTCTTAGTTTCAGATCTGCAAAATCTGTTGTAATTTATAATAATTTTTCACATTAAATGTTGTTCCTAAAATGAAATTTGCACAAAACAAAGACTTTGCTCTTGATTCTATAGGTGTACATAGTTATGTTCCGAACTTCTGCTTGCCATTTCCGTTCTAAATTCACGACTGAAATCATCTGATAAAGAAATAAATGAGAGCAAAAAAATACCCGCGCTAATAATGAAAACTACAATAATGCGCCTTCGAAAATTTTCATATTGATAAAACTTAATTTTCTATTCTAATTCTTTGCCTATTCTTGGTTTTTTTCTTTTTATTTGATCTTTATATTTGATTTTACAATGATGAATAGTATTTGTCATTCATCATCTCCAATTGATGTAAATATTGAAAATCCATCATTAAATGATCATCAGTCATCAATCAATGAAAATGATTCAATTCAACAAGTTTTACAAAATGATGAAAATAAACCACGTTCATCATATATAAAATTATCAGTAGATGAAAATCGAAATTTGGGTTTATCAGAATTTCAAGATCCACTTTTCTATGAACAACCATTAGATTTTCATTATAATCGATTAATGCCAACTATAATTACTTCAGAATATGAAACAGGTGATCAAATTCGATTAGCAAACGATATAAAACTCAGTAAAAATGAAAAACAAAATTCTTTATCATCACATCGACATGAAATAGACAAAAGTAGAACAACTTATCGACAACATTCGAAATCAAAGAAAAGTAAAAATAAAATAACAAAAATGACAGAGAAAAAGAAAAAAACATCGATCGACAACTTATATAAAAGCAAACGCAAAAGTAAAAAAATTAATCGAAATCGTTTTGAACGATTTCAATATGAGGTAAATAATACCATACTATCTTCTAGAAGCTAACAATTTTGATAATTTCTTTCTACTGAAACGAATATATTTCATTAGTATAAAATCATATATTGATTCGATTTTTATTTTTCTAATAGCCGAAAAATCGCCAAAAATTATTTCTTAAACATCATCATAAACAACAAGAATTATTTCTCAATAAGAAAAAGAAACTATTAAAACAACGCATTACATCGAAGAAAGAATCAATGTTGAAAATGAACAAAAATAAACCTTTAAAATCGGTTCAACACAATCGAAGATTTAATATGACTAATAATCGAATTAATTCAGCAATTTTATCTAATCGTTCTTTGACTTCAGGATCTAGAAAAATTCATTCGATTCCTCGACTCAAAACTAAAATAACTCGTAATCAACATTTATCTCAATCAAATAAAAATCGAATTTCATCTATTTCTCGATTGGCTGATAATCCAAAAACTCGAATAATAGCAAATAAAATAAAATCTCAAGCAGATTTATCGACTCTCAATTCAGTTTTACAATCAAATAGTCAACAAATGATGAAAGGTAAGTAAAAAAAATAAAAATTTAATTCTCATATTTCGAACTAAAAATATCAAGATTTTTTTTGTTTCACTTTCAATATTGAAAGATATGTCACCATCTTTGAAAAGAAATTAAAAATTTTGAATGCTAATATGATTTTCTTCCTATACACTGAGTCAAAACGTGTAACGTGTATCACTTTGTACTAAAACAAGCAAAACACAAGCATCTCCTTTTATCATTGATCTGATTAAGTAGATATTCGACGCCAGTTTCTATAATAAATAACTATGAATCGAGTGAATATTAGTTCAGCATATATTTTCTGAATCGTGTATTTATTTGTTTTTGTTTTCGTTATCTAACAACTAATATCTTAAACAAATGTAAGTTTTGTTGTAGTAACAAGCAAGGATAAGATACAAACGCCCACCAATACATTATCTTCATCATGTGCACATTCAACACACTCTTCAAAAACATGTTTAAGTACCGAACGTAACAAAAAGTTATCGAAAACAAAACTTCATCGTTCGAGATCTAATGTCAGAAAACTTACAGCATCAAAATCAAAACAAATAAAAAAACGAAATCGTGCTTGTGCTAAATTGCATATCTGTTCACCAACAAATACAAAAGTGTCAAAAAACATTCGGCATTATCGAAAATGTGAATCTGCAAAACATAAAACAAAATTCCCTCGATGTCAATCGAAGACTTTAAGTAAGAGTTATCAAATCTACTCGAACATGATAATTGCTTGAATAAATCAGATTTAAATTTTTATCAGCAATATCTTAGTTCTTATTATCTTAAATAAGATTTACATCTATTAAAATGTTTAAGACATTATTAATCATAGAAGAGAACATTTTTTATGCAAAATCAACAATCAACTTTAGTACTTTCTCTCAAATACACTCAATATCAAATAAACTTTTTTTCCATACTAAAACATCTTTATATAAGAAGTAAGGTACGAAAACCCTTAAGATATTTGTTAGTAATAATAAAAAATGTTAGCGCAATTCCTACATGATTCAAATGTAAAACACGACATAGTTGTTGTTGCTAATCACATAAAAATTGCTTTATTCTATCTATTTTTTATGACATATTTCTTCACCACTGTGTTATTTAATCCTCCAGAGATGCAGTAATGAAATAGTTTATATATATTATAATAAGATATTATTGATATGCAATCTCTGATCGTATATTAAAAACATCTGTTAGTCTGTGACATGGAACAAGAGTATTGCTAGGGTATCTATCAGAATCTGTGAACGGGAACACAAATTTTTTAGTCTATGTATTTCAATATTCCTTCTAGCTAGTGTTTTACGAAAACAAATATATAGCATATCTTATTATGGAATTTTCTAGTTCGTATAGCACCAATAAATAAAAATGATCAAAATTTGACAAAATCTTTTGAAACAAATAAAGATAATATTCAAATGAAAATGAAACCATCAATATTTTCATCGAAAAATAGTTTAACTGATAAAGTATCATCAACATCAACAATAATGCCTTTAACAAAGAATAATGCACAATTAACAAGCAAAAACAATAATAGACGTGCATCAAAAATTAAACGTCGACGAAATAGTTCGACATCAACAAAATTAGAAAAAAAATTGATGAGATCAACAAGAACAGGAATGGTTCTTCGATCAAAAACAATCATTATTAATAGTAATAATTCGACAGAACGAAAAAAATAAAACAAAAGAAATTTAAAATGACATCATAAAAATCTAAATATATCGGCTTTTTTTCTATCGATGTGATATACAAATTACTTCTGATATTTTTGTTTTATTCAAAAATAAATTTTCTGGTAGACAGATAGCATGTAATTACATTATAATGCAACGAATAATATTTAGTGATTTTTTTTTTAATACATTGTGCATATAGAAAAAAAAGAAAGCTATCGTTTTTGTTTATAGGAATTAACACAAGAGAATGATGCAAAATAAATAATAAAAAATAAATGAAAATTTAAAACGATTTTATCTGTATGATGTTTTATCATTAATACTGATTAAAGAGACTAGTCGAATTTAAATGATTCTCTCTTGTATTCTATTCTTAAAATTTGATTCACTAACTTCGCGCTTTATTAGTTTCCATATACATGATTTATATTTTCAAAGCATAATTATTTAAATTTTGTTTTACACCAAAGACGTTATACGTTGTTTTTATTGTTACAGTGAAAATTTCGATGTTGATAATGTAAATATCGCATTTAGTAGATAATGGCTTTGAAATATTTTTAAAAAACTACTCAATTTATGAAGATAGGAATCTTGTAATTTTTGAAAGAATGACAAAAAGATGCTTCTTTTCAAGTAAATATTTCGTTCTCGTTTTATGTTTCACCTACAAAACTTTACAACACGCAATTTTTATAATTTCTTAATCTGAACTTCTACAATTATCTCTACAGAGTATGGTCAATCAAATCTTTAGATGTCAACATGTAACCATTGATCTCATTAATTTTCTTAATAATTCGCAAATAAAAGCGAAGAATATTGTCCTAATTTATAGTATAAGCATCTTTTGTTCTTGGATGCATTTTATCTGCACGATGCTGACTAAAGCAAACCGTATAGTTTTTAATAATGATGATATAATATACTTGAACCAACTGTTAAGAAACTTTCTACATATACTATTTAGTTTATAAGATAGTTAAAGAAGCATAACAGAAATTAGCAACATCGTTTTCATATCTTATCGACTATTTTCTCTTCTAATGTTCTCCTCTTTGATTGTTTTCATCAATAATAATTTTTGTTTGTTTCTTTCTTTCTTATTGTAATAGAAGTTCAAAAAAAAAAGAAAAATACTAATTTTGTGAAATGCTGTGTGCTTCAAGTTCTTCTAAAATTCTGAATATTCCTTTGCTATAGCTGTTAATTATTTGAATAACATTTTTTGATCATAAGAAAAGTTTATTATCTTCGCTTGAGATTAATTTTTAACATAATTTGTTATAAGTTATATCTGGATGATAATAGCAAGCGATCTATATGTATACTATTCTGTTCTAAGCTCTGGTTCGCATCTTTATAAAAGATAAAGTGCATTTTCATTTGTTATTTGTTCTATAAGTTTCTACCATGTGCCATCTTATAAGTAACTGAAAAATATTATATATTCTCTTTAATACTCATAATAATTCTATACAAGAGAAAAAAAACGTTGGGTCGTTTTAAATAAGTAGTCTTTAAAAAAGGAGAACAGTTCATTGTTATTGAATCACTCAGAAATAGAGTAACTACAAACGTAGCATATATTTAATCAATTACTTACTACTTTCTTGGCCAAGTATAATCGTCCAGTGATTGTAATTTCAAAGATTGACCAACGCCTCGTTCAACTTCAATAAATTACGATGATCTGTAAAAAAAATCCAAAATCAGCTTTTAACTAAACAATATGAAATGTTTTTTCTGAAAACATTCTCTGAATATCGACAATTTTTACTTGTTTTAAACAAAGTCTGTTTAGTATTTGAATAACATACATCGATTGGACGATGAATGAAATATTTATAGTTTTAAATTGATTTAACTAGAATTCGAATAAATACTTTTCTTCGTTGATTTCTTTGTCAAACTATATTTTCACAATCAATGAATAATATTTAATGAATTTCTATTACAAGATTATCAATACTTATTGCTATTAAATGAAAATAATATTCGTTTGAGAAACTATTTCGAAAAACAACGTACAAGTTTTATCATATGTGTAATTGAAAACTTAAAAATTTTCTGCAGTAAAAAACAAAACTCGCTTAATTGTATGTATTACATAAGAAACCTCTCGATATAGCATCTAGAGTTCTTTGTCATTTAAAAGACTTGAACACTATTTAATGAAAACCAATCAATGATTATTCATTTATATATCATCCATTGTTTATTGTTAAAACCTAATATCGAATATGATTCTAAACACATTACAAGTTTGCAAAAAAACAACTTACTCTAATTTATAATGAAAGCATCACTGTTTCGAATTTATATTACTCCTTGGAAAAATTCCAACTCTTTTTCTTACGTCATGTAAAAGGACAGGAAAAAAACCAACGTCGACAAATGCAAGGGACAATAAAAAGATATTATAACCGTCATTCTATCAAAATATATTTAAAAAAAATTGGACAGATATTAATGAAAATTTCTAACACTAATGAGTCATTTTTAGACTTTCTAAAACGAAAAAAGTGACTAAATTAATAATAATTTATATTCTTTTCATCATCATACGTATTTCAAGTCTGTAGAGATTTTCTACACAAATATAATACAACAGTATAAACATCACTTAGATATTTGATTTTATCGATAATAACATTTTGTTTTTATGTGCACTGCTCTAAAATCATATTGATTTGATTCGCTAAAGAAAAATCATGTTTTGAAAGCAAGTTTGCCTACATACAAACGGGTAACATAGCAGAAACATTTTCTACTAACGAAAAATATTTGATCGTTTCGTATGATATAGTCGAAATCACTTATTTCATTACTCTTCATATATTTAACTAAATAGTAAGGTTGACTAATTAATTAAATCCAATATGTTATGATTTATGTAAATTAATTCATATACTTGAATTGTAACATCTATATTGATTATTTTAAGACATAGACTTATTTCTATTGCTTATGATATTTACTTTTAAAAGAACGTTTATTTTAAAGACATCAATCCTGTTAAATACTAATTCGAATTAATTCATTTGTTAAACTATGAAAAATATGAGTTCAGAATAAGCATAAACCTAATATGTCCAGTTTTTTAGTTCGAAATATGTAATATGAAAATTGACAAAAGGAACAGAAAGCACAGATTTCTTAGGATCAATATAATCAATTGATGAATAACGTTGATTTTTATTACATATGAACAAAATTCATATATATTTTGATGCAATGTTATATTGTAATCAAAGACAATCATAAATTAGGATTGTCATTTAATTTCAAGTGAGTCAATAAAATATTCATATTGAATGAATTTTTTTTTAAATGTATGAAAAACCACAGACAAGAAACTACTGAAAAAAAACATCGAATGTGAAAAGTAGGATATGAGTGTTACGACCTTCTATTCCTTCGCATCTTTTATTTGTTTTTTTTTCTTTCAACATATATTCTTTCGAGAATTAAGCTTGAGTTGAATATTTTTTTTAATTTAAAGATGTTTCTCTTCAGCATTTTTCTGTAATACTATTCTACGGTACTGTATTTTTTTAGTTCATAATTTGCATAGATCAAAAAAAAGAATTTCTTTTTTGTCATGTCTATTGACGATTTACATATTTCGTCGCTTATTCAGATACACGTGTATTTTTAATCGTTTCTAACTTTCATTTTGTGATGTAGGTACTCAAGGCAGAAAAAAAGAATGCTACAATGTGCTTCTTATCAGGTATGACAATCATGCAACCTTGAGACAGTGAACAAGAAAATAATAAATGTATTTCAACTATATTTGTTTTATTTGCATAACTTGCATTAATCTCAATGTTTTATACAAAAAAGAAAAATATACTAAATATTTACTGGCCTTTTATGCATGACACATTGAAATGATCTTGCATAGGAACTACGTCATACAACAGTCCCACCATAATACTCATCCTTCAACTACTCATGTACTCTACCATCCTCAATTAGAACTTGACATAGTTCAGAAAAACATGAAGTGAAACTTCACAATAACAAAAAAAAGTGACATTAAATATAAAACGAATGGGCGTATATTTCAATTGCAGCAAAACGCCTTCTAGTAGCACTTGAGTAAGGTCCACTTAGCACTACTCAATAAGATAGTGAAGATTTATCTAGATTCGATCGTCAAAGATTTTCTAATGGTTTTAAGAAAGAAACTTGTTTAATTCGTTTTTAAAATAGCGATCCAAATGATGGTTGTTTCTATTGAAACGTGAATGATGATTGTAAAAGATATTGTTTATTACCGTATCTCGCTGTTATCGACTTGTTTACAATCGCTCACTAGTCGCTCTATGCAACATGCGATGATCCACAGTAATAATGTTTTTGCTTTTTTTTTATGTAAGACTATTAACATAATTAAACTATTATGTTCACTCACATTTTTAGTTAGAATCAAATTAGTACTTTTGTAATTAAACTAATGATGAATCATGACAGCAAAATATTGGATTTTGAATAATGAATTTCTGACAAAATTATACATACAATTGTCCAAGAAGGATGCTTTCATTTCGTTTGTTTATTATCGAAAGAGAAACAATATATAGAATTCAGAAAATATTTTTCCACATACTTAAAACTTTATCGGTAAATGATGCATACAATCAGTTTTTAAACCACATAAAAATTTTTGAAAACTTGAATCTATCAGTAATAATCCAAATATATCGATTGTGCCAAATTTTCATAAGTCCTACATTCCTGACGAACTATCCCTATAATACAATATTTGTCTATGCGCTGTACTTAAAGCAATAGAGACAGTTTAAAGAGAGAAGACTAAGTATTTGAGAAATACAGTAAAACATCTCCAATGTGAACACCGTCAAGATTGACAGCAATCGTTCAATATAATAGAATGATCATATTAGTAGAATTCAAGCAAAACTAAATTAAAGCATCAGTTTTATTACCTTCTGTTTCCTTTAATGTACTTCCTATTATATTATTCACCACTCATAAACGCTATCATTACTTGTTTGACTAAAATGATCGTTCAGCTTTCGCTTTAACCTGTTGTTTGGATTGATTATCATAATCATTAATATATTCATTTCTTCTTCTCAGAGTATTTAATAAAGTACCAATAGACATTCGATATTTGTAAATTTAGTCACGATGAGACGAACTATGTTCTTTATCTATGACTAAATTCATTTTTTTTGCTCTAAATCAAGATTATTATAATGTGCTATATCTAATAGATAATGCAAGTCACAATTGAGGATAATGATACTTTTAAGTCTACTCTATCCTTCTTCCTATTGTGGATAACATTTAAAGGAGTCCAATAAATAAATCAAGGGAAAATATGGACGCCATTATAGAGGCGCATGAAATCGTCCAATGAGAAACTCTTATTCGCTAGATAAATCCGAGCAAACCTTGTTATATTAAATTACTTTTGAAAATATGTCAGAAGCTGAAAAAAACTTGAATTAAAACAGAATTTTCCAAAAAATGTTCACCTGTTTATTGTTATTGGCATATTTGTTTAGCGGGCCATTCGTATTCTGTCACGTGTCAAGTTAACTTACTCCATAGAATAAGTGGATTCTTTTGATTGACATGCTTGTTTAGTTAGTTATTTGATTGGTCCTGTGAGACAAGTCAATGCATTCAATTTCCATAATTCAAAAACGTTTTTGTCAAAATAAACGACCATTTTAATCCGTTGACTCCCGGCAGCATATATATATACGTTCCGCTATTTGGCTTAGACTTCCGACGATGTATAAATACATATGAATGCTGTTATTGAACAACAAATATGTCATTAACTTATTTTTTGATTATTTTGGAAAAGCGTTGTATCTGTTAGATCACGGACTAGAGCCTTGAAATCATCCTAAGAATCTATATGCCATGCATAGAAAAGTATGCTGCTATGATAAAGAAATCACGAAAAACTCTTTAAAAATCAAGGTTTTACGAAAGCATATATCTCATTCTAGAAGCATTCGCGCATATTTGCTGAGCGTATGTTCCAGATATAAAAGAAGATTCTCTAAAGGTTTTGTCGATATCGAATTACTGCAAAAAAAACAGTGGTCAACTTTACTGAAGACGTTTTTTCAGACAACATTTAGCGTAAAAAAAGAATAAGTACTTTTTCACAACGAAAGCTTTTCTTATCAATCAAAAGAGTAGCAGTCATACTTTGAGACTACGTATTACTTATTGTTCAACTCTCAAAAAATTATATTTTTCTCTAAAGAATTTGACCTTTTTTTACGACTAAGTTATTCCAACGAATTTACCAAAAACCTGGTTGTTAATCACACTTCATAAAATACTATTCAAATCTCGAAAAAGCTTAAATTCATTTTTTAACTTGCTATTCATTTTGTTGCTCACTGTGAAATGGGAATCGTGATTAAAACTTGTATTTGAAAATTCGTGTCTGTTTGGATATTCGTTGTTTATGACTTGATATATTGAAACAAAAATTAGTTTCGTCGAAAAAAAATATTTCATACAGACCAAAATTTAACAATGAAATAAAAAAAACAAACAAACTAAGTCGAAGATGATTAGACACAATAACAAATATAAAATTATATAAGTTTTTTTTTATTTTCGTCATGGACGGATTAGAACATATATATATTGTATGTAAATAATTGCACTGGAATGAAGAAGTTTTTATTTATTCGTGTTTGGAATCATTTTATTCTATAAATCATCGTCTCCATCACCTTTATCAAATAATTCATTATTATTTAAACGATCTAAATCTGATTTTGTACGTGTTGCAAGACTCTTTGTAATATTAGATCGATTATTTGATGGATCAGGTATTGATACTGGACTAATTATACCTGTTTTTTTTTCTAATATTTCATCGACCATACTTTGTAAACAAGTACTCACTAAAGCTGCTTGTTCTGTATATATAGTAATCCATTGTAATGTATCTTTTTTAATTAAATATTCAAATGCAATGTTGACATTTTGTGTCGTACAATTAACTTTCCAACAGCGAATACGTGTTACTTTGAATGAAAATTCTTTCGTAAATAAATTAGGTTTTTTCTTATCATCATTAATTAAATGGCAAAGTAATTCATTGTTTCCAATGGTTAATATACATTGAGAAAGTTTTTCAGTTGTTAAATCATTTATTGAGCATTGTTGAAGTATAATATAACCATAAAATTTTGATGTGCGTGATAATAAAATATATTCTTTAAATGAATTGTTATCACATAGAATATTTAATTGTTGATATATATCACTTGGATATAAATCTTCACTTTGCTCAATATCATATTGTGATTGTATAAAAAGTAGATTACGTGTGCGACGATTATCAATTAATTTAAAATCATAATTTAAATTCCAATAAGATTTTTTAAAAACAATACAATAATTTTCTTTCAATTTTAATGCTCTTTCTAATGATAAATATGGTGATTCAAAAGGAAACAACGGTCGAATAATATTTAATTGATTATTTTTGAGTTCATAAAAAAATAATGAAAAATATGATAAATATTCATTTTCCAATTGAATTTTACTTGCACATGCATCAAATAATTGTGACGTATTATCATATGGTGAGAGATTTTCAATAATTATTTTATGCTGATTTAATAAATAAATTGTAAAATTAACTTTTTCAGGATATGTTTTATTAACTAATTCATTGAGACATGTTTCACGTTGAGCATTTAAAAAGAATTCATTAAAATATGATGATGATACGAGAGATTTATGTTGTACTACAGATTGTAAATAACGTTCAAGTAATATGCGTCGTTCATCTATTTCACGTAATGATAAACTAAAGAATTTTTTAGGTGGAAATGGTTGAATATTTATCATTGACACTGAAAATAAACGTTGAAGTTCATCATTAAATGCACGCAATTGAGAATAACGTAAACTACAATGATGATTACCATTTATATGAATATTGAATAATGTAAAAGCATGTTGATTACTACTTCTTTTAGCAGAAATATCTGTTGTATCAGGAATGGAAAAATACATCTGCAACGAAATGTTTCTATTTGATATAAAGGTCAAAGTATTTCACACAAAGCTAAAATAAATAAGTACATCGTAACACACTGACTTTTATTGTAATATATTCAAATAACACTCACAAACAAACAGCATACGAATCTCTATTGATAAAATACTGTTTTTCTTTTGTATAGTTTTTTTTTTGGTTTTAAGTTCGATAATCAATATAACAGTAAGGACAATGCCGAAAAAAATAAAGATGTACACAAATAGACGCGCATACACAAAAAAAAGAATACATGACTTTATATATACATACATACACCTTTATTATTTATCTTATTCGTTGCGTAAATATATAAGAAAAAAGAAAAGAAAAGAACTAACTAGCAGTAAAAAACAAAAAAGAGGCCAGAATACTGATTGCGCATATAGATACATCAAAGGTGAGGATTTATTTTTGCGTTTTTTTGTTTTGATTAATTATCACGTGAAACTAAACAAACCGGGTGAGCGATCATGCATATTAATAAGGGAGAAAAAAATGATCATTCATATGTATGTAAAAAAAAAAGAGCATGACTTAGTTGGTGAAAAAGAAAAAAAATGCAATTTCATCAGATCGCTATTGCAAGACAAAAGAAAGAGACGATTGCACTCATACAGAGATTAATAAATGCTACATTATCATTGATCAAGCAAGAAAATAGAAGATGAAGAAAAAGAAAAGAAGTGTTTTTTTTTTCTTTTTAAACATTCGGCTCATCTGGTTTATTATTATTATTAGTTGTTAATTGTAATTCACGAAGAATACATTCAAAACAATCATACATAAATTGCCCAAATGGTGTTTGTAATTTAACTGGTTTAGCAACTTTCATTGTTGAACGTTTATATTCAAATATAAAATATTGTTCATCGACACAATAACGTCCAATTATTGTCCATTCAAAATCAGCTATTTGATTTGTTTCCAATTGACCATCATCAGTACAAGCATGTAAACGAAGACGTGTGCTATTTAATGATAATATAACACAACCATTATCTTTACGTGAACTACATGGACATAAAGGAAATGTTATTGTATTATATATATCGGTAAATGTTTGAGCATATTTTATATATTCAATTTCATCAAAAGTTTTTAATGCTGAACGTTGATCAACAGTAGAATTTTCTGCACGACTTAATTGATCGATTGCCTAAGAAAAGAGAAGAATTTTTTTTTTATTTCATCAAAAGTTTTTAAGATTCTTTTTTCGATTATGAATATTTCTAATTGACTGTTAACCATATTTGACAAAAACTTCTAGATTATCACAAAAAAATAGATTAAAAATTTAAAAAATGGGTTCTTTTTAACAGTTAATATCAAATACATTTTTAATAGAGTTTAAACCAATGAATGAAATTATGTCATTCATTAATCTGATGAAAATAGAGAATAACCTAAATTAGTACGCAACATTGTTAATGTATACAGTGATTTCTAAAATTATTCGATTAGGTCTATTTTCAATTCCCTTCTGTTACCATAAACGTTAATATGAATCCACAGAGTCATTTGAGTAGAGAATTTTATTTCTAGTAAAAACTATTGACGATAAAAATGACATGTGAAAAATCCAAAGATAGAGTTTTTCAGCTCGTAGAACTTTCAATTACAATGCTGTGTGAGTTACCTAGAATGATTAAACTAAATAATTCTCTATAAAATGAAACATCTTCTAGCTAACTTAAATCATCGTAGAGAACTGGACGACATTTCATTCTGTAGAACATTGTATGCTCTATCATTTTAACTAATTCACACAGAATTATAATAACAAATTCTATGAACTAAAAAGCTCGGTTTTTCAGAACTCTTATCCTCGAGAGACACGTAATCATTTTTATCTTCAAAAATTCTTGTTCGAAATAAAATTCTCTACTCAAATTACTATTTTAATTCCTTTTTCATGTTTACAGCAGTAAAAAATAATTAGAAATAAACCCTGTTGAATAATTTTCCAATACCCTATCATATTTAATGGAATTTTATCTCATATATACTCAAGTTTCACCTCCATTAGTTTATCATGCAAGTCTATATATAAAGTACATCAAACAAAAGGTTAACGGAAAAGAACGAATGATAATAAAATGACATGGTAAGGAACGACGTTTAACTCTGTTCTGTTCTGTCTCTCTCTCTGAAAAATTTCGCATGTATGATTTTAATTACATTTAAATATAATTTTAAAATATTTCTTACTTCTCGATAAAGATAATCACGTGCTAATGGATATTTTAAAATTTGATTTTCAATTGTTGGTGAAAAAACAAATTTACGTAAACATAAACATGTTGTATTAGCTGTACAACAATTTTGTACATAAATTTGATGTGGATATTCAATTGGACGAAGTTTTCGTTCTTAAATTTAATTTAATCGATACATAAAATTTTCAAATTTCAAATAAGAAAAGCAAACCCTTACCAAATGTATAATCAAGAATTTCAAAAAGATAAAAAAATGGAGCACATTGTTGTGGTAAATTAATTTTTGCTACAACAGCCTAAAACAAACCATAAATTTCTCTCATAGGAAAATTTCAAAAAAAAATGATTTTTTTTTTTACTTCATAAACTTTATCAGTAGTAGAAAAACGTTTAATTTTAAGAATTGTAACTGATCGATCAGGTAGCATAATTTTTATTTCAACATCAATTGAAATTGAATCACGCTAGAAAAGAAAATATAATTATTAGAAATTCTTTTGTTTTTCTGTGTCGAAAAAGATTTTACTTCATAAACATCAGCTGATAAAAATTCTTGTACAAGATCACAATCACCAACGACACGAACTGAACAAACTAAATTAAAGGAATGTTTTTCTTTCGTTAATGTATGTCAATATTTTTTTTTGTCCTTTTTACTCTTATCAAGATATTGTTCAAGACCACGTCTACGAGCATCTAATTGTTGATCGGATAATTTAAATGGCCATTTTTTAGGTAAAGGACTAAATGGAAAATCGGGAAATTCTTGTTTTAATTGTTGATGTAATGAAGCAAATTCTCGATAACGTCGCGAACATAAATGACGACCTATTATGAATATCATATTAACGATAAAATCAAGGTATAAAAAATTTCTTTTGTTAATAGTTACCAGCTATATGAATATTGAACGCCTAAAAAAGGACAAGTTTGATAAATTTTACAATACGATTAACTTTATAATTGTTTTTTTTACAAGAATAGTAAAATATCATCATATGAAATTAAAGATAGACTATTTTTAATCTATAATTAGTTTGTCAAGAGTACCTTTTGGGGGTCGAGTTCGTCAGATTGGTTCCGAAAAATGTGAACCTGATCGACTCGCTCTAGTCATCTGAGAAATGTGTAGTATCCTAGTCAACGAATATGGAAAACCGGAAAGAATTATCTCGTATCTTCGGAGCGACTATCTAATTTGGATTGGAAAATTTCATTGAGAGAAGGAAAGCACGATTCGATTGGGTTCGAGTTCGAAAATTTAGGACCCTCACAAATAATTCTGATCCTATTCCTGAAGTTTTTTTCGTTTTTCTTCAGTGTTTTTGATTAGCGATTCTGTCAAAAACAAAAACCTCAACCCCTCACAAATCCCATCAACTTTAGATAATATCTTCTAACATCGGCATTCGAGGCACATTTGCCAGTCACATATAAATATATATTCAAAGTAAGGTTTATCAGACTACTAATCTGTATATATTATTTAATCTTCTTAGTATTTTTTTCTAAATCATGTCCGCTACTTTATTAATTTCAATAATTCTATTCACTACTTAAATAAATGTCAGGCGTTTTTATGAGTGCATTTATTAGTAAAAAAAACAATCTTTTCTATAAATGACATTGATGCATATCTAATTTCTTTTTGAATTTGACCTAGGTTTAATTAGTCTTTAGTCTATTTTTAGATAAAATTACTACTACAATGAATTAATTATGACTTCTGAATATACTATTGTTTCTTTAATAAATATACTTCTATAGATCTCAATCGAGTTGTTTTTTACATATGATTAATTTTTAAATAAAACTTAAAATCAAATTAAAAAAAAATAAAAGAGATCTGTATACTTACATAAAATTTCTCATCATTCACTTCCAATAAACTATAATCTGGTATTGTAATAGCAAGTGAACGTCTTTCTGTATAATCATTTGAACTTCCACTTGATTCTTCACCTGAATGTACATCACTATGTGTTTCATCGCCAGCCGATGCAATTACTTTAAAAAAGAAAAAGGAATTTTCAAATCTATCAAAAAAAAAACAACATTTTTCTTTTCTTCATACCAACAAGATGAAGTTCATCACCACTATGTTTAATTAAATCAACAACTTGTTTATGTGATGCACCTTCTACATCAACACCATTTCTATAAAAAGAAATTATTATAAAACTTTTAAACAAAACACCAAAAAAAAAAAACTTAATCACATACACTTCAAGTATTTTATCTCCAACACAAAGACCTGCTATTTCAGCTGATCCTCGACTTGATACAGCTGATACATGTTGAAGTGGTCCATAAAGTGTTCCATGTATAGCTTTAACTTGACCACCTTCAAATACTTGACCACGTACATTAAAACCAAACCCATTACTTGATTTTCTTACAATTATACTTCGTGGTGCATTAGATATTGTTGTTGTTGTTGGTTTAATTGTATTTGTTATTATACCTGATGATGAAACTTTTCTTACTGATGAAGCTACATCCATAATTATATGATTATATAGAATATGTAAATTTATTCTATTTTGTCGAAACACGAAATCAATACAAAATTTCTATTGGTGAATTATTTAAACCAATGAATAAATAAAATATTTGTATTAAAACACATATGCAGAGTAAAAAAACGAGAAAAAAAACCATAGACTTGACATTTACGACATATTGTTAATTGTTTTTCTTTTTCCTCTTTAATGTTGTTTGTTACATGTCATTGTATTTCACCTACGCTTGTTTTTTTTTGTTAGTATTACATCGTATTTGAGTAAGATTTATCTTTAACTTTTTAGATATAAATTGAAGTGCTTCTTTTTCATTGCGCAATTTAATTAATCCATGGCACGAACAAAACAAACAGCACGTAAATCAACTGGTGGTAAAGCACCACGTAAACAATTAGCTACCAAGGCCGCACGTAAATCGGCTCCAAGTGTAAGTGAAAAGTGTGCTATTTTTTTTAATAGCCTAAGAAGTTATTAATTTTTTACAATTGTTTTTTTTTTTGTATAGACCGGAGGTATTAAAAAACCACATCGTTTTCGTCCAGGTACAGTTGCCTTACGTGAAATTCGTCGTTATCAAAAATCGACTGAATTATTAATTCGTAAATTACCATTTCAACGACTTGTTCGTGAAATTGCACAAGATTTTAAAACTGATCTACGTTTTCAATCGGCTGCTATTGGAGCACTTCAAGAAGCAAGTGAAGCTTATTTAGTATCACTTTTTGAAGATACGAATTTATGCGCTATTCATGCAAAACGTGTTACTGTAAGTTTTTCATTTTTAATTGAAATAGAATAAATATTTGTTGGTTTTTTTTTTTAAATTAGATTATGCCAAAAGACATTCAATTAGCACGACGTATTCGTGGTGAACGTGCTTAATAGAAATATACACAAGGTTTTTCAATAGATGTCTATATATAATATATAAATATATCTTTTTTTTTCTTTTGCTGTTGTTTGTTCGTCTCTTTTTGCTTATTATCGATTTTGTTTGTTCGTTCTTATTTACTCAATAACTATCTTTTTCATATATATATATATATATATATATATATATGCGGTTTGTATTATGTTTTTCTCAGGATGATTTTCTTTTTTTTTTTCATATGTACGCACAATGTTGCCACTCGATTATACTCTCTCGTTTTGTTGTATCGTTTCAAGAAGAAAAAACGAAAGAAAAACAAAAGAATGTTATTATAAATATAATCATTCTGATCCTTTTTACTATTATTATTATTATATAGAATGGAGTAGATTTTCTTGTCTTCTGTTATGTTGATGTGTGTCTGTGTGTATAATTGGTTTGTATCTGTGTGTAGTTATGTATCTCATTAAATAAGCGAAAGAAAACAATATTTGAAACAAAGATGTTTAGGTGTTTAGTTGAGAAAAAAAATATATGAAAGCGTTTTTTGAAATAAATAAAGCATTTATCCTTGCTGCTATCAAATGTCGCGTGGATTTGGAAACCAATACATCCAATCAAATCAAATGTTCAATTAACAAAAAAAAAAGTTATTTTGTGTGAATGTATTTTTATATCGACTGATAGCATAAATACGATCATTCGAGAGATTGAATATACCATTCATCTTTATAGTAAATATTAATGAATAAGTGAAATGATTTAATCCTAAGGTCAATATAATAATGCGAAAAAAATTGATGCGTTCATATACATACATACAAATTTCGAAGTTTGAAATTGAATTGTTTTTTAAAGATACTCTAAGAAAAATATATCAATCAATTATTCTTTAGATTCGCTAATTTATTTTAAAACAATTTATATATATATATAAACCACAGATTAGTCTTCTATATTGTGGCATTAATTTCGATCGGAAGACTTTTTTTTGTTTTATTTCTCAACCACATGTTAATCTAATCTACGTTGATAATTTTACCATGACCTTGTTTCATCATAATTACGTTTCAGATGTTAGTATTAATGTGCTAGTTTGCTAAATGATACAATTTTTACAGTAGAACTAATGACTGATAGTTGATGTACCATGGCATTGGGCTTATGATGCATGTCAGATAGAAATAATATTTAAATATTTTAACTTACGAGTAAACCATCTGAATTGATATTCATCGCGTGAGCTCATATTGGATCTACAAGAACACCATGCTGAGACTAGCAAAAGTCTAAAATGGTTCATCTCTATGAATCTTTAGAGCCAAATTATGATTGGTTTACTGAATTTTTGAACCTGCTTTAGGTATACGCTGAGAAGTCAGAATTTCGACGTAAAGTTTTGCCCATTGATAGGTTTAATGATATGGAGAGAATCAGTTTGGGTAGTTTCCTCGTGCGTTAGAGCAACGACTGTAGTAGTTGATATTAATTGTTGTGCCTTTTCGAACATCAATTGATTTGGATGAGTTAAGTAATGAAAATAATTCATTTGTTTTGCGTTGAGTAAAATATTTTGATTTTGATACTTCACTTTGACGAACATATGATAATTGGAATTTTTTAGTTTCATTATCAAATTCATTTAAATATTTACGATTGCAAATCTAAACGTTTTATTTTAGTGAAAATAATGTATGTACTCTGAATTAGCTTTAATGTATTCGATTGACTAGGAGTATGTGATTCAATTGATTGTTTCAATTTACTAATAGTTTCGTAAGTCATCTTTTTTGATAATATGGATAGTAATTTTTGTTGTAGCTTTGTTTTGAATACGAAGATTCGATTTATTTTGCTTGATTACTAACTTTCATCGAAAAATAAATAACAGGTGACCTATAATAAATGACCAGACTTTGCATTTCATATTTTTATCTATAAATACATTTTATTAAGAAAAAACAACAGAATGTACCATAAAATGCAGCATAAAAAGTTCTACAATCTACAAAATATAGCTGATATTAATTGCGTATCTTTTTGTTTTCAAAATAAGAAAAATTCTATGCGACTAATTTTCAACGTTGGTAACATAAATATTTTTTGGTAAATAATCAATTCGTTTTTTTTTTGTATTTCATCGATGAAAAACAATTCTATCTGTTTACAAAAAAAAAATATTTCTCATTAGAAAATGTTTATGCTGCAAGTTGACAAGAAGCAGACAAACAATAAGATATAAACCAAAAGATTAAGTAACAAAAAAAGAATTATGGTATGATTAAGTGCATCTAAAAATAGTCTTACATTTCCTACTATATTTGAATTTGGTCAAACCATTATCACATGAAAGTTGTTCTTTCACAAGCATAATATGACGACAAACGACGATTTCACCTGTCAATAAGACAACACCACATCAAATACACATTAGGAATTATTGACAAGATTTGAGAAAAATTTCATGCATTTTATAGACAATCACATTGATGGCTATCAAACAGTTCTGATCTCAATGTTCTAGATTATTATGTCTGGGATGCTATTACAAATAATATGCAATGAAATAAAATAAAAAAATTCTGATTCATTAATGGATGAAATTAAAACAAAGAAATTCATCGTGAACAAATAAATGATTTCATTCGCAGCATTGAAAAATGGTGGCATAGAATTTAGCTTATTTACAAAAAAAAAATAAGCTTTTATTTCGAGATTCTAAAGCTTTTCACACTACATTTTGTAATATATTTCTTTTTTCGTTTTTTGAATAAAAATTATTTACAGATTAAAATATGAAATGTAATGTGCGGTCATTTTTTATGGACCACTTGTTATTACCCTAGTTCCTGTACACACTTGAAGAATTGTTTATGAAAAATTAAATGTACTTCCGAGTTGAATTACACTAGATTTTAGTTCAATAGAACTAGTTTTTGATCTAAATAAACAACTAGTTAGTTTGATTAACAATATGAAAAAAAATGTTCTGAAACATGACTAAAAAATTATTGAGGTTAATGTGTGCTCAGTCTCATGACACCTTTGAAAAAAATTATTTTTAGATAAATTTCCTCAAGAAAAAAAATTAATGCTCAAGGTAATTATTATCTGTCTGAATTACTTCAATTTTGATGTCGGTAAGAGTATGCATCGGCACTTCAATAGCTAAAGAATTAGATCAAAATAATTACAGAATTAACTTATGCATGCATCCGCAAGATAATCGTTGCAACTGATGAAGTATTAATAAATCTATTTAGTCGGATTTTCAAATCAATAAAATCCCTGATAGTCTACTCAACAATTGTGCTAAAAAAATTAGACGTTGTTATAATTATTACACATATGAGCTTGCTGAATCTTTATATACTATGGAATATTTTGAACTAATTGCAATATTTTAAATTTTTAAAACTTTTATCGAACTTGTGGAATCAACAAATGCGCTAATATTTGTACAATATTCATTAATACTATATATCCGTAAATCGACCATACGAGCTAATAGTACAAGTGAGTTTATTATTTGTATCTAACGTTTCATAGGCGATTGATTAATAATAGTCCATTGATGACAACCAGCACCAGAAAAAGATCATTGCCATTGATAGGATTGCGTGAACATGACGACACTCTTTGTATTATTCATAGGTTTTCATGTTACTGTTCCACTCTAAAAGTGAGTGGATTCAATTGCCAAGTGTCAAAACATAATTAAAGTAGATAAAACAGTCAATATCGGCGTAAGTAAATACATGAAATATATACAAAACTCAAATTAGATCTATTTCTGGCATTTAAAACAGATATTTGATTCAATCCTTACAACGTAAGTCCTTGTGTAAAAGAAATAAGGATTCAGAATATGTTCCCTGTATTGTATCATCATACAAAAATAAATATTAAAACATAACTTCACTTTCAACATATAGAATGTTAATGTCATATTTTGTGAAAAATATAACATTTCAAATATATGCTTGTTATTTCATAAAAAAAGATTCTACACAACGAACTCGATCTTTTGTAAATATTTTTCGAAAACGTATGTAATATGTGAAATTTAAACAATCTTTCTATTCGAAATTAGTTAAAATATAAATTTAAAATGTATGATAATGTCGAAAGCTTTCAACCTATACAACGTATGAATCAATATACAACAGAAAACATACTTTTGTCAAGATTCTGATGTACGCTATCGACTTATAGAGAGAGAAATAATGTATTTCAACAGTATTTTTCTTATACTTTAAGTCCGTATTAAATTGTTCTAACATAGTAATTAATTCGATATGTGATGTGAAACAATTGATATATTTTATAATTGATGTCAATCATTATATTGATCCGATATTTAAGTAGTTCGCAGTTGTCACTAGCATGCATCGCGAGTAGCTTATATAATGATAAGTCTTAATTCTTGAATGAGTATTTGAAAGTTTTAGAAAGAAAGATAACATAATCGTTCGATACACTATGAATATTTCGTTGAGATTACAGATATGAATAAGAAGGTTGAAATAACATTTATAGAATTCATAAACTGATAAAACTGTTGCGTTTTATTGTTTTTTTTAGATTAAGAATTATAGCAGGTGATCTTAATAACGATGCACTTACTCCGTATGTGTAGCACTTTGAATGTGACAATAATTGGTTGTAATTTGAATACCTGGAAATCATCGGATGATTTTTCTATGACTTTAATTTGTGCTTCATCGAATATCAAGTTCTTATGCTTAGTATCCCTTTTCTCATATACTCAATAACATGCTTCATATTATATAATGTTTGTAAACTCATATCTTGTGTAGTAAGATTAAATAAAATCATTTGACACTTTATCCACTCGTTTATTTATTTCATTATTTTCCTAATGAGTTAAAGTTATATTGATATTATAAATGAATAAAAGACAATTTACTCATTATTAGAAATGAGTATCGATTACAATACATTGAATCATTCGAATTCAAAGTACGATTTGCTCGAACAGAAAGATAAAATGTAGATGTTAGATAATCTCATGTAATCTGTAAAATAAAATTCATTTTTTTGATATGTAATCTAGCTCACAGCAGATGATAGCCTTGATTTTTATAAATAAGTACGATTAAGTTTTGACATAAATTGTCACGTAAACGAAGGCCTATTTCATCTATTTCCGGCATTACTAATGCTCTCTTTAACAATGTGTTCTAGGACAATTCATTACAATATTCTTTGTTATTCTACACAATATGTTTCGCTTGAACAAAAAAAAATATTTCTAATTCTTTATTCAACACAACATGTGAATATCTTTTGATAAGAAAATATATTTAGATTAACCAATATGTTGTTTTTACATAACATATTTATTTGATAATCAGCATTTAAAGAAGATATCTATGCAGAAAAGAAAACAAAACGAGAATAGATTTATTTCTAAAAATATGTTGGTTCATCGACTGTAATTATAAGAATTGACATGAAGTATGAAACTAAATTTGTATACTAAATTATTTTTATTGTTGCGCATTATCATTTGTTTTGTTGTCATTATTATTTGAATAATCTTGTTCAATTAACCTTTTAATTAATGAATGATACGTTTTTTTTCAGTTTACTCATTATTTTTTGCTATAATGAACAAGAAATACAATCTTTGTCGTTTTTCCTTAATAATAGTAAAAAATTGCACCTGCAAATGTATCCGATAGTAGAGAAAGGGATAATCGAGGGTAGATCATTTTTTTGTTAATGACTAATAATGAATATATGAATATGAAGTAAGAAATCGACATGAATGATAATTTAATCCTCATTAGGTATATCTACCAAAATTTTATTTATTTTATCTTATTTAAAGTCACTTGATAGACTGAAAAATTGTGTGAAAATGAGCAATAGAATTAATATAGGTCAACATATTCTTGTTTAATTCTGTTATTATAGATATGCATATTGAATACCAACTGAATTTCAAATACATGCACATGATTACTAGGGTTTTATAATGGCAGAACATTCAGAGACTATTTCTCCACATTTTTATTCACTCATTTTTTTTTTCTTCATTTATTTTCAAACTGTTTACAGTACATATACATGTATATATCTTTACATTAAACATTAGTCAATCGAAAAGTAATCGGTCCATTGTGTGTGTATTCTTTGATATTAGTAATTCTTGTCATACTATTACTATTAGTATTACTGGGTATTGGACCACTTCCGGTACTACTAATAATTGATTGGTTAGCTGTCATTCTTTTATAATTCATCTTCATATTATATCGATCAATATTACGACCAGATGTTAATAATGGTTGTTGATTTCCATGTTGTATTGTAGATAATGCTTTAAATGGTATTGTTGTTGATGATGTTGATTTCATTTTTAGTACTGATTCAAAACAACAGCAGCACGATGAAAATAATTCACGAAATTTAAGACGAAATTTATCTATAAAATAAGATAAAAGAAAAATTTAATAGAATAAAATATATTTTTTTGTTTTATTAACAGCTACTTTACTTACCACTCATAATATTATATATGATTGGATTAACTGATGAATTAAAATAAGGCAGAAAATGAGATATTAATGCACTAATTGTTATAATTTTACTTGGACCAGTACGTTCAAGTAAAACAAGTCTTGGTTTCAAACATTGAATAGTTTCATTTAAATTATTACTATCACCTACGATTGGACGTGTATATTCCATATAGACATAAATATATCTAAAATATTTTTTTAGGAATAAAATATTTTATTTCTATATAATTTCATTATATATGTATTTTACCTGAATAAATTAAAAACATGAACAGGAATATAACAGATGGCAAATATAATAACGACAGAAATAAGCATTTTAGCTGCTTTTTGTCGATTTTCTTGTACCATTAAATTAGCTGATTTGCTTGAATTGATTAAATTATTACTGCTGTGTATAGGAACAGTAATGTGAGATTCTTCGGATTGACCTTTAGAAACGTATAGGATATTTTTTTTGGTTTTGATAAATCTGTAAAAATAAGAAAAAAAACAAACTTGTTAGTTTATATTGACTTGAATGAATTGTACGTTTTTCATCATTTAATATTCTTTCAGTTGGTAATGAACCCCAAAGAACTTTAACAATACCACAATATGTAAAAACCATAAAGCAAAGTGGAATAATAAATAAACAAAGTGATATATGTAATTGATAAAGAAGATCATAGAATGGATGAGCATTCCATTGACAACTAAATAAATAGGTTTTAATAAAAAATAAAATTAAAAACAAAAAAAAAATATCAGATAACTTATAATTAATGACCGGCTTTTGTTTTTTTCTTTGAAGATATTTAAAAATTTATTTCTAATATCATTTAATAGAAAACTTATTTCTTTACAAAACACTCTAATTTATTTCTTTTTCTTTTCAAGTATTATTCTTGTTGGTATAAAATTAATAAGTTCATTATCTACTGAATAGTTGATCAACGTCAATTAGAAATGTGACACAATATTCTATGTCAAAATTTCTGATATTTGTTAATAGACTTTAAAATGAATATTTTATATTGATACGCTTTGACAAAGAAAATTTTAAAAATGCTAACGGAAAAATTCTTTTCAAACGCATTGAAACAACTTTTAGATGTGATTGTTGGTCATGTCGTCTGTCATACCGTCCTATGATGTTTTTTTCTTAATTTTTCTAGGAAAAAAATAGTGAATATTTTAGTCAGAAGTAAACTTTTTTCCTCGACAGTATGAAAATGAAACATTTTACTGAATACATATGACTTTCAAAGACATTACTTTCTGTAATCAGCTGGAAAGTAGCAAGAATGTTTTGTTTAGTTTGAAGTCTTTTTCTACTTTGTAATCATGATGAGAACATAGAAAAGATGGTAGACAGATAGAGCAGAAAATTTTCTACTCGCTAATGTAAAATATTTTGCTTTTAAGACTTCTCTAAATGAAAAGACGTTTGCTAAAGTTATTAGATAGTCAAAGAAAACAGAAAGTTGCATGTAGATAATTCAGTAGATATTGATCTTTTTAATTTTTCATTGATAAGAAAAATATTTTCTGAAAAACAAAATTAACTGTTTTATAGAGAAATAAATTTTCTATAGAATGAGTATAGAAATAAATCTTTAGACAAGATTTTAAACAATGCTTAAATAAAAGAACGTAAACCTGTCATTAATTATGGGTCATTTGATAAATAGATTTTACTAGGTTAAATAAATTGTTTCAATTTCATCACCATATTGTCGAATTAATGTCATCATAATAGCATCTAAAAATTTCATATATTCGTGGCAATATACTTTAAGGGTAAAATATGATTCATAAAAGAAAACACAAACCTGGGAGAACAAGTAATAGTGAAAGTATCCATACAGAAAGAATTAAAATTCTTGCACGTTGCTTTGTACCAGAAAATTTAAGGGGATAAACAATAGCTTGATAACGTTCAACGGAAATAGCCATTAATGTAAGCACAGATACAGATATTGACATATTCTAGAACGAAAGAATCATCTAATATGCATAAAACTCATACATTATTAAAACACTTTTTGATCAGCCCAGTTAATTAAACCGCATCAATATTGTTTTCAATTGCTTAAGTGTTAAGAAAAACTGCACTTAGAAAGATTAGTTGAATTTATTATTCTTAATTTAACATCTGCTATTTTATTTTCTACTACATTTACTTATGTCTCATGAAGAAGAATCAGGGAACTTATCCTTATGAGTTTACTCATAAGTCATGCAAAAAAACATGCTAATGTTATACAGTCCTAAATAGACTTCATCAATAAATAATTTAATTAATTTAAATGAAAAAAAAGAAATAATAGATATGTCATAAATAATACTTTGCGTTTCATTTTTTTTTTTTCTTATGCGAAGAAAATTTTATTCCATAGCTTTAATAAAAGATTCAATAAAATATGCATTCGTTGCTCTTCAAAAATCATTAATTCAAATGCTCTTTTAAGCTTTAATAAGCATCATAGAGGTCTACTTGAACTCAAATTATAGTTTTCAGAAGTTCACACATTTTTTACCTTACGTCATTACATTGAACAAAAAAAAATACAAAGAGCCGGTAGGCGTCAGTAAAAGTAAAATCCATCATGTGAACTAATTCACACCTCTTATCAATAGAAATTATTAATCGTATGAATATATATATATATTTATATGTCTATAGTTCATAAATATGACATACTTGAATATAATTCACAAATTTGCAAAGAACTAAACCAAAAAACCACGTTTTAGTTACATCTTGAATAACCGTTGCTGGTAAACAAAATACAAGTACTAATAAATCAGCTGCAGCTAAATTCATAATAAACATATTTGTTACTGTCCTAGAAAGAAACAATGATAAAGAAAGAAAGAAAGAAAGAAAGACTATCTGTTAAAAAATTAAACAGTACTAATTTCTTTTGTGTGTGTGTGTATGTGTAGGATTTTACCTCATGCTTCGATTACGTTGAATGACAATAATTACAAGTAAATTACCAATTGTTCCAACAATAAAAACAATAACATAAAGTATAATACAAATCCATTCATAATATGTAATACTAACATATTTTAAAATTAAATCAAGTACCATATTATCTGATAAACAATTTCCTTCACTATCAATAAATTTACATGTACTTTCATTGTATGGACATGATGTTGTTGTTAAATTCATTGTACTATTGTAATTCATAAGTATCAATCATAGAATATCAAAATTTTCTAAAAGAAAATAATTTTTGTTTTCGCTCTAATTTGTCTCGATTATTGCTTATGCTTGTTTTCTACGTTTGATTTTATTTACATATCAAGTTAGGATAATCTCTCTTAACAGCTAAACTTTAATAACAAATCTACCATTAATATAATCTGTTTTTTTTTCATATAAAAACAAAAAATCTGAAATTTTGTTTTTTAAAATAAATATATATATAAAGAATATTCTCATGTTCTAGAATACAAGACTAATACACATATACTCATATCGAATACATACGATTGTCGTATACCTGTCGTTTGAAATACAATCATATACGACATTAGTATTTTTCTGGCACGTATAGTAACATATTCGAAATCATCCTGAACCATCATAAAAAAGAATGAAAGCCAACAAGAGCAAACTAGATATACAAGCGTACACAATGGAACCCAAGAAAAGATGATGAGATCTTATTTTCTCATTTTTTTTTCTCTTCTTTCTCTCTATATTCGGTTTCTTTTTTTTTTTTTTTCTTCTTCTTCTTCTTCGTCTTCTTCTTGCTTTGAAACACACCGACGATGCCGCAGTCTGGCAGCACAACAGAGACCAGTCCGTCGCGACTTTTTTTTTATATATATTTTTTTCGAAAAAAGAAAAACGAGAAACGCTTGTTGCTGATGCTGAAGCGACGTTGTCGACTATTGCTTTCGTTCTTTCAATGCACCCTATGATGCCCAGATTCTCTCTCACTTCAACCCTTTTTCTTGTTCTCCTTCTNTTTTTTTTTTTTTTCTTCTTCTTCTTCTTCTTCTTCTTCTTATCGTTTCGACGTATAAACCTATAAAAGAAAGACAAAATATAAAAGAACTCAGGAGAGTTGTCATTTGTTGAACACTTATCAGGAAAATGTAATTTAATAGATCACAACATAACAAAAGAAAAATTCAAATATGATCGAAATACAAAGAACTTTCAGAAGTGTACTCTTCTCAAATTATTTTTCGATATATAAGTAACAAACCTGACCTTGTATAAACATAGAATAATATACTAATAAGAAATATCATAGTCTAGTGTCCAATGCTTTTATTTCGAACAAAAAATATTTTCTACATTTTTTTGTCAACACTCCTATAATTAACGAAAGTTATTCTTGCTGAGATAACAGCCGAGCAGACCATTTATAATGTATTGCTATTGATACATACACATTTGTTTTCTTTCTCTATCTCTCTATTATATATTTTCTCTAATGTGATTGATGACACACGACTTGCTTTTAACTTTCTAAATATGACGGAAATAATTTCTGTGACTAACTTGTTATTTTCTAAGAATTTATTCCTTAAAATATGATTTCCCTTGTGCAAAGATTTTCAAACTTACTTTATCTTTATCAATAATTTAGTATATGTTTAAGAAAACCAAAAGCAATAGTTGTTTTGGGGCATAAATATAAATACATTTGACCAATGTTGAAGTATATGTTGACAAGTTTTTCTCATGTGTTTCCAGATTTTGCTCTATTATATCAAGAGGTAACTAGGGACGAAAAAAAAGCAAAAAGCATCAAGATATAGTTGACGAGTATCTATATATATGTACGTGTCTTGTTTTCATCATATAGATAAATATAATATGTCCTCTGTTATAAATCCAATGAATGAATCATTTTTAGTTAATTCATGATACTACCACATGTCATATACATATATATATTTATATAAATAAATGATATAACTTAATGAAGACTTGAATATAATATACTTTTCATTTAACTAGAATTATATTCTAGAAAATAGTAAATTTTAATATTTAATTGAAAAAAATAATATATATATATATAAGTATATTCTTGATTATCTTATATATATATAGAATATAGAAAATTAAAATGTTCATGATGATTTACTTTCTCTCAAGGGAATACAACGTCAACAATTAATAAAATATGCTTGTAAAGCAAGAATGTTGGAAAACGCAAAAATAAAACAAAACAGAACAGATGAATAAAATAAGAATGTTATGCTGTTCATATATATGTTGATTGTAAAAAGAAATAGTTAACTTATGGAATAGCAATTTCGACATGTTTTACATTTGTCTATACATCGACAAAGTTCAGAAATACTTGGATTAAGTGTATTGCTAAATGGTTCATTTTCATCTCAACTCAAAATTGTTACATTTATTTGTTCGATTCCAAAATGTTGATTTAAATGCAAATAAATATCATATTCAATTCCATCACTCGTATGACCAGATCAATAAGGTATATGATGAACATAATGACCAAGTTCAGTTTTTGTAAATTCCATATACATTGGTGTATTAAGAATATGTGCATGCCAAGGTTTGTCAACCATTGCTGATGGACTACCATGTATACCATGTTTTATTGTCGTATAATAATGTACAAGTTCAATTACACTATTAACAGCTGCTTCGTGTGACATTTGTTCTTCTATTTTAAGTCGTTCAATAATATTTTGAACGTCAAGTAATGGTATATGTACTTCATTCGAAACTGTTACTACACTTTGAATTAATAATATGCATACAGGTATAATGCTTCCTAAATATCAATATGAATGTTTTGATTATTTTTAAAATCTATAGAACTTATTGAATATTTTAATGGTGTTAGTTTAATAATTTGATGTTATACTGACGAATATCATGACTATTTATACAAAAATTTCATGAAAATTTTTTGTTGATGTTGTGTAGGAATGGTTTCTTCGAAGTTTTCTCAATATTTAACTACTTTCTTTGAGATTGTATGAAAAAAATAAATGGACATAACATGTTTTTTCCTTTCGTGGAATATCAATTGCTTGAGTAGGATATTTAATGGATACAGTACAGAAGTAACATTTTCGTTTAAATATAACATCTAGGTAAAAAAAAAATTGAAAAGTATTTTATATAAACATGTGCTAAAAATTTTGTGCAGAATACAAAATAAAAAAAAAAAGTAGCTGCATAAAAAGATGATATGATAATACTTCCGTTATTGATCTATTTCAAGCTCTCATTTCCTGTTTCTGGATTATTTATATCATTGATAGACTTTGATTTACTTACTTCTTTTCATTATTTTCTTTTTTGTTGTATTATTGACATGAATGTGTCATTTATATTTTTAGATGACCTTTGGTATTATTTTACTAGCAATATTTTTTATATCGAACAAGAAATGAGAAAAATCAGCGAGTTTTCGACTCAATTGAAATCAAATCAAATCAGAGTAGTATATGAATTAGTTCTTAAGAAAAAAAAAAAGATCATATCCATTATGGTGAAAAAGAATCTTAATCCTTCTGTGACTCCAAAGCTAAAGATAAAAATGTGTCTATTGAACGAAAAATCTTTTAATTGATTATGCTTGTTTTTATTACTTACAAAACGAATCGTGTTTTGATTAGTCATGCTGAATTTGAGATCAACGATTTTCGTAATATTAATCAATACTGACCGTTTTACAATTGACAAAGGAAAATCTAAAATTAATAATTGAATAATTCACAAAAGTCGAGGACAACTTGACCTATCGAGAATGATTTGTATTATTTATTGAACATTAGAGTGCATGAGTTGTTTTGTGAAAATGATATATAATCATATTCATTTGTTTTTCTACAGCAATAGTTTTAAATACATTTAGATCATGTAAACATTTCTCAACAATTTGTTTCTACAGTTTTCTCAGGTATGTCGAGTAAAATTTGAAGTAACACTAAATATATATGAAAAATTCTTTACGACTTTTTACATAATAGACATTCAGTGAATCATCTTTTGGATTTTTTTTTGCTTTGTCATATTGAAGACTTTTAAAGAACTTATCATGAGCAGTTTTAGGTATCATTGAACTTGATGAAGAAAACATAATCATAACTGCTGAAATAATTATATGTATTACTTTCTATTTGAATGTCGTCTGGAGTTGGACACGGGTTGTCAAAAGAATTATTTTCTTGATTTCTATTAGAGTTAAATATAATGTATAGGATACACATCTGCAATTTCATAACATTCTCATAACACGAGTGGAATACTTCACATAGCAATTAATGTGAAAGTGTCATTGAATTGTAGATGCACCAATTTATTTATGAGATAATTTGACTTGGTACATAAGACTAAGTCCTAAGTCAAGTCAAGTCATTCTGACTTGAATCAAGTCACGATAAGTCATCATCTAATAAAAAAAATTCCGAATCATTTTTAACTTGACTTGCTCATCTCTATGTTGAATCATGAAAACGATCAATAGAAAATAAATTATTCTTTTTCTTTCACAATAAATAAATGAGGTTTGTCATATTTTCAATTCCATTAATTAAATTATGAAAATTTTTATCTATTTTATTACCGTGATGACACTTTCAATATTGATGATGTCGGACATTTCATAGTAAACAAGAAACCTATTATTAATATGTTGAATAAAACGTCAAACACTAATTTGATCATGAAATTTTATCTTTTTAGAAAAAGAAAAACATTCGTAGCTTTACTCTAGACTGTCTGTTTGAACTAATTTTTATTTTCTAGAGTAAACATTAATCTACAGTTGCATGTAAATTTTATACAAAACTATTTAGAAACAATCATGACAAAGACGCCTACTCATCATTTTTGTCTATTCTCTTCCTTTCCTAATTTGATCACGTCAGCTACTTTTGTTTTCTGATTCGATCAATCAAGTCAATTTGTATCGACGCTTCAAGGAAAAACTTGTTTTGGCATATGCAAAATGTCTCGACTTTAGAATTACATCATTTAATTATTCAGGTGAAAATCTATACTTTCATCTATTTGTTTTTTGTTAATAATTCCGTGGTGTAATTTTTAATTTGTTATTTTTTCAATTACATCCGAATAATGTTTGTAATCGAGTTAAATAACTAGTCTTAAATCGATCGCTCAAACTAGTTCGAGTTTCTAATTTGATTACCTAATGTAAAATGCATGTAGTTTTGATGAATGATAGAAAAACAAAATATGTTCGTGTTCTCCAGTGTACACGATCGACTAATTAATACTAGTATGAAATATGTAGGATAGATCAAGAACTATCTATCTAGAAAATATGAACAATACAACCTCTATTTCATATGTTATTCTATCGTTATTTTGTACGAGAAACTTTCATATCTATTTTATCTGTCATTTGAATGTTATTAGACAAATAAATAAAAACCAAGAAATTGTTTTAAATTAATATATTCAAATAATTTTTATTTGAAATAATAATGAATTGAACTTTATCTATACATTTGTGAGAAAAACTTCAGTTTTTGTAAAAATAAATAATTCCTACGGGAAACAATCAGAATTCATAGATAATCATATTCACTATTTTCATTGAGGTTATGTTCCAAGATGGATGGAATAGTTATTTTCTAAGAAACTTGCTTTAGTTTTAATTCCATAATGTGCTCTATCTTATTCTCTTCTACATCATGAATTCATTAGATGTTTTCAGGAATAAAAAAAAAATCAAAGAACAGAGGATAAAATAATCAGCATTAACACAGTCAGTATCGTTTGATAAGCATTCGTTGTATCATTATTTGTCTGAAAAACATGTCTACGACTATATTTAACTATGATTTATTCATCTGTAAAAATAAACCTCTTCGATTACAATATTATTTAAGTGCATCAACCATTATAATTTGCAAGATTTTACGGATCGACTTGAGCAAACTTCTTCAATGAATGCTTCTGCACTTGCTCGTACAAGTTTATTCGGTTGTTTTTTTTTTTTCATTTAATATCATCATCATGACGTTGAAGAAATGAGAGAAGTTATTTGTTATCAAAATTATCGTATAAACCGAACGACTTGAAAGCCAAACTCGAATAAGAGTAAAAGAAAAGCAACACAATAAGATTCTTCCCTACTGCTTAAGTATAATGGAAGTTCTATTCAGTTTCTCAAGGATAGATCTTAATAATGACGTCGACACAGACTTAATTTTAGCACTAGAAGATATGGATACAAGGTAAACAATTTTCAAGAGTAGAAGGACATTGTTTGGACGAATTTCAGAAGGTGTTATGCCCACACACCCATATATTTTATATTCCTAGCCCTCGAATAGAAACATTGTAGAGGTTAATTGCTAACTTTGAGTCACGTAGACTGTTAATAGAATTAATAAGCGACTGTTGCGAGTGATTTTTACATAATATGAACAAAAAATCATAGAATTGAATAACAAATTTTAAAGTAAAACTCGGATGTGATGAAAACTAACTGGCTACAATATCACACATATAGACGATTAGAATACTAAAAGATTGGTCAGTTCATGCTCATACAATCATAACAATAAGAATCATGAAATAGTTTAATCCGTAGTTGATCAATGTTAGATGAAACAATAAAAGTGGTTTCTATATTTATTACTTTATTTCTATGATTCAAAGGCGACGATTTACTCCACTTTATGACAAAAATAACGTACCTTGAAAAATAGAGATTCTGCTGCTCATACTTTGTAGATAGAAAGTTCTTGATTTGTTCTATATCTTTTTTTACTAGTAAATGCTAATTGCTCGCATACTTTGGGTAGCGCAAACATCGTTTGTATTTCTATCATTCATCAAAATTACATGTATTTTACAGTAGGTAATCAAATTAGAAACTCGAATCAGTTCGATTGATAGAATTCAAATCAGATCTTTAATTCAATCACAAGCATCATTCAAATGTGACAGAAAAAAAGAAACAAGTTGAAAATAAAACCATATATTTATTAATAAAAATTAAATGAAAGTATAGATTTTCACCCGAGGAATCAAATGGTATAATTTGTTTTGTGATTTGAGACATTTTTGTATATATCAAAACAACTTTTTTCCAAGGCCTCTACACCAATTGACTTGAATGATCAAATTAGAAAAGAAAAATAACTGACGTGATCAAATTAGGAAAGAAGCAGAATGTACAAGATGATTATTGCTAGTTAAGAACTATTAATTAGTTTTGAATAAAAAAAATTATATGCAACTGTAGATTAATGTTTACCCTAGAAAATAAAAACTAGTTCAAACAAACGTTCTAGCATAATTTTATGAATTTTTTTTCTAAAAAATATATGATAACAAACAAATAAAGATTATTGTTATTGAATTATTTCTCTCTATGAGAGCTGCGTGTGGTCAACATATAAAAATTGATTAGAGTCGGTATTAAAAAAAACTTCGTCCCGCACACGCTTTTATCTATCTCTATATATGTGACATTGAATATAATGTAAATAAAGAAAACCAATCACTAACTTGATAAACTTTTAATATACATCAAATGATAAAATCAAGCAATAAATATGAACAAAAATAACTTCACATTCGAATATTATCATATGAGTTGACTATTTTTTTTCTGTTCGATAATGCCTGTTTCTTAATTTTCACAGTTGCAATCTTTATTGCATAATTCTATGACGCAAAATATTACAGAACGATTTTCTTTGTTATGTTCTACAAAATACAAAACACTTTCACTCAATAATTTCATTTTTCAGGATCCAAAACAAACAACACTCGTGATTGTGACTTACAGGATGATCTTGTCATTGTATTTTTGACAAAGATAAAAACTTTTCTGTATACGAGGTACCATGTTAAATGTCATAGACACACTATTTATGCAAAAATCATTTACAATATAATCATGTTAGTAAATCTTATCATATGTTTTCCATCAGAAATGACAAGAACAATAAAAAAATATTTGACATCCGTCGGGTGAACAAAACAATAAGAAAACAACCATAGAGATATAGGATTCAAAATGTAATCAATTTACATACATAGACAACAAGAAAGGATAGTTTCTATTGAATTTTTCGTATGAACGAATCAATAATATGTTATCAATTTTACTTGATAATAAAGATGTTCTTCATCTTTGAGTAAATATCAATCGAGCTGACCTTAAATAATCTTTTCATCGAAGCACTAATCACTGGTATGGCATTTACTCTCTTGGCTACTATTAATAATAATGAAAAATTACGACGCATTGCACTTCTAGACTAGAACCTCGTTGGATAGTGATGGATATGATAACTAGGATATCTTCCAGGTCATGTGAGATACACATCCTGTGATGTTCTCTGTTCTTTAATTCAATGTAATAATACGAAATAACTTTGAAAATCTTCCTTTTATACAAAATACACTTTATATGTATATATAGCTTTATAAAAATTTCCCAAATTACATAAATATCTCGATTAATACAGTGAATAAACAAATAAAACGTTTTAATTAAAAAATAATAAGAATAATAACGAAATGAATGAGTAACAGAACAAAAATAACAATCATTTAAGAAATGCTTGTTGTGTTGGATCATGAAAACTCGTCGTATGATTATTATTTGAATTTGTCATTCCAGTGCTATTGAA